GAAGTGTTTGCCGAAATGACCAAATTTTTTATAATATTTACCCGGTGTTGTACTGAAAGCTGATTCAATCAATAAGAAAATGTCTACGAGTAGTCTTTTAAATTCCGTGCGTACATATTTAGCTTCGCATCACATGTTTGTCGACGATGAATGGTTGGCTGGGTACGTTCCTGCTTTTTTTTTATATTTCTCCAATTATTTGTTTAGAATCTATATATTTATTTGTGTTTCACAGATGCATAGAGTATCTAACTGAGGATAGCAGCACTAATTATAACGAAAGAGAGATACAAAACTTGGCTAAAGAACAATGGTTGTTGAATGATTTGAAAGACATTTGTCCTGGTTCTTTGCCGGCTAATTTGAAGAATCAGCTGAAAACTACCCTAAATGGACGATTTGTGTTGCAAATTAACGCTTGTCTTGATATTGGTAAGTCTATCGTTGTCTAATTAGTGTATCAAGTGTACCTTTCTACACAATCTAGATAGATCATTCAATAACCGTCAATTTGTCTCATCATTGTAAGGAGTATGGACTTTCAACTCTATGCTTGCCAGATGACCGGCAAATCCCGAATTGTCCCGGAATTTTTGTCTTGTCATGTGTCCAGTAATTAGACTTCCAAACACTGAGAAGTTATTTTTACAAATTTACCAGAATCCTTATCATAAAAGAACTTCCCCCAGACTCAGTGCTGTAGGCGAGCGAAGGAATGTCGAAATATTGATTGTGAATGATGTAAAAACTTCCAATAGATGGTAGAAAACAATGTTGCAACTGTGTTATGACTGTCAAATTAGATGGATGGCCCTCTGACAAATTAGTTCTAGTAGCAGAAGGCCCGTCTCCCTTACTGTAGTAAAATTGTCCCGAATGTGATAAGTCAGTATCTGGTTACTCTATTCAACCCTGACATAGCTGAAATCATTGTAAAAAACAACAGAGCCATATTCACATAAAACTTGACTTAGAGAAATTGTTCCATATTTTTTCATGAAGGTGATTAAGCACAGGCAGCTGCCAATGATATGATAGGCTTCTTAACCAAGAGATCCCTATCACACAGTCTCTCAGGATTCATCAATTATAAATAAAACTGGTTGTTTATTTATTACAACACAAGTAAAAACATGGTAAGTTGTGGCTTGTGATTAAAAAAAGACATCTTCAATGTCTGCTGGTGCCAACCATTCTCCATATTTTCCATATGAATAAATGTGTGTCCTTATAATTCTAAAAATCCATTTTTTATATATAACCAAACCGTTAACTTATTTTTTCTGCTCTCTTCATTCATATTACTTTTCATACACACCTGTTTATTCTTGGTACTTTTGGACCGGTTGGTCTTTCTAGGTCTACTTACATGATATAGATTTATTTAGTGCTAGAATTAACCCTTCCATAAAATGTAGGTACAAGTAGCTATATGTGTATTGGTGTTTATTCTAGGCACACCTGCCTACCAACAATACTTGAAACTGCAGAAAGTGAACATGGAGAATGTAGAGGCCACCACAAACTTTGATGATAAGGTACCAAGTCATAGGTAATGAGAGAATTGTTACTTAAATTCTTTATTAAATCTTATGCTTCCTAAACAAGGATTTTGAACAAACAAGCTGTACATTTATTCATTCATAATGTGTAAAAGCATACAAATATGTTTAAAGCATTTTGTCTAATTACCAATAAGCAGAGTAATTATGTGCTTAAATCAAATAATGAATTGTAGGTTGACTACTTCCCTCTGAAAGCCCAGAATATTAAAAATAAAATGCGAAATATCAAAATCAACAAACAGTTGTCGTTTTTACTGACAATTATTTTACAAAACTTGTCTTTTAAACATAGTATCGTAATTGCTAGTTAGTTACACATCAAACATATGGAACAAAGGACCAAGGTGTTGTACTAAAAAAGATTGCTAATGAGATAAATCAATTATATAGTGTTTTTTTTTTAATGGGATAATATGGCGAAATCATAGAAGATACAAGGAACCTGTCTTAGGAACCATTAAGTCTTTTTGAAAACAATTTAGGCATAGTCAGTTTCTTGGTCATGCATGAGTTGTCCATAAAAATGAATAAAATTGATGAAAATCTTTTTAGAAGGGATCATTTCATTGTATGGGATGAAAAAGTCGGGACAGCAGAAGTTGATCAAATTTCTTAAATATTTTTTCATACAAAATGCATTGACTTACAAATAAATGGACGACGGGTCTAATACAAAAACCACGAAAAAAATGTCCCAAGTCAACCTATTCAAAATTTAAATTGTAATGTCATCGCAGTATCGCGCTGTCAGTCGAACAAATGAAGACTAAAGCGGAGTTTGACGCTCTGTATACGATTTTAACGCCTTACAAGTTCGGACACTTTTTAGCGCGGACACGACGTCCATATAATTGTAAGTGAATGATAAAATGAATAAAATTTACTATTTTTTTCTAATGCTAATAGACTCAGTTTCTTATAAGGACGACTTCATTGTATAGGAAGAAAAAAATTGGGACAGCAAAAGTTATAATTATTAATACAAAGATCGAACACTCAGAAAAAATTCCTTCGATCCGGTCGGATTCGAACCGACGTCTTCTTGCATACCGTGTCAGACGCTATACCAACTAAGCCATAGTAGCTGTAAAGGTACTAACTGGGTGATAAATCTGTCATAGATTATCATAGATGGCGCTACGACTAAAAAGTCGTTGAAAGACCAAGTACAAAGACACGACGCAAGCACATAGAAAAATTCGTGAGGTCCGTTGGTTCGTTCCGTGGCTTAGTTGGTATAGCGTCTGGCACGGTATGCAAGAAGACGTCGGTTCGAATCCACCCGGGTCAAAGGAATTTTTTCTGGGTGTTTTTTCTGAGTGTTCGATCTTTGTATTAATAATTATAACAAACTAGTGGAGTAATTTCACAAAAAATAATTGAATATCAATTCAATAAAAATTTAATTAATACAGCAAAAGTTGTCATAAAAAAAAAAATATATCTTATTAAATTTGACCAACTTCTGCTGTCCCGATTCTTTAAATATCCTTATAAGAAACTGAGTCTACCGTGCCTAACTATTTAAACGCGTTTATTCCCATTTCAAATGTTATTACAATGTAACATGAAAGTTTAAAAGTATATAAAACTGCCTACTTATTATATAGTTTACTCATAACTAAGAAGTACTTATTATTTGCAAACCAATTTTTTATGAAGTTAATCAAACTATAGTGATAGAAACAACTACTTTTTTAATTAAGTTATAAATTTTAAATTATAAACTTGAAAACTAAAGTACTTTTATGTTTTATTGTACAGGGTCAAGAGCATGTAAAGCTTGACACTTAAGATTTAAATCCAACTCTATGCCGCTTACGATAAGAACGGTCCAAAGTTTAAAGTGTCAAGCTTGACGTGCTCTTGACTGTACAAAATCATAACTGCGTCCTAATTTTGATTCAAATTGGAATCGACCCGATCGGGTAGTCTCGAAATCAGATGGGTTTCTGAGCGAGAAGATGAACCTGATTCCAACTATATCTTTTTAGTTTGTGAGTTAAATCAACTATAATTCCGATTAGAAATCGCCATCCAGTGTGAATCGCAATTATGCGCCTCGACTCGGAAAAGACGCAGTTTCCGATCGGGAGAGGCAATCAAAATCAAGCTGCTGAAGTATTTTTCCTGACAATATCTGTGCGTGCGTTAAATAGGCTGACTGTGTCAATTTTGTAACAGACTCGAAGATATGCCACATTTGATGGAATCACCGCTCTTAGAGTAGACCTAGCAGTAGGACGTGTAATTGAGGATGATCATAATGATAGCATAAAATTTTCAGAATGATAAAACTCTACCTAACTGATGGTGTGCAAACTTTATCAGCAATTGAGTACAAGCCGATGAGGAACCTCAGTTGTGACATAACACCAGGCTGCAAAATTCTTATTAAAGGTAAAGTTTATTAGTGGAATCGCTCCTTGTGAAAGAGTTCGTCCAGCGAAGTACTGTCACCTTACCTAGTTCTGCTGCCAAGCAGTAATGATCACAGTACTGCTTTCCGGTTTTGAAGGGTAACGATTCTGGTGAAATTACAGGCATATGGGACTTGTCAACTTATGTCTCAGGGTGGCGGGAGCAGCCTCAGATCTTTGCGATTAAAAAATTCCTTCGATCCGGTCGGATTCGAACCGACGTCTTCTTGCATACCGTGCCAGACGCTATACCAACTAAGCCACGGAACGAACCAACGGACCTCACGAATTTTTCTATGTGCTTGCGTCGTGTCTTTGTAAGAAAAAACGCTCAGAAAGTTTCTGAGTGTTCGATCTTTGTATTAATAATTATAACAAACTAGTGGAGTAATTTCACAAAAAAAAAAATTGAATATCAATTCAATAAAAATTTAATTAATACAGTGAATAGCGACATCTCTCGCCAGGACTGGTAGCTGTAAAGGTACTAACTGGGTGATAAATCTGTCATAGATTTCTCATAGATGGCGCTACGACTAAAAAGTCGTTGAAAGACCAAGTACAAAGACACGACGCAAGCACATAGAAAAATTCGCGAGGTCCGTTGGTTCGTTCCTTGGCTTAGTTGGTATAGCGTCTGGCACGGTATGCAAAAAGACGTCGGTTCGAATCCGACCGGACCGAAGGAATTTTTTCTGAGTTTTCTGAGTGTTCGATCTTTGTATTAATATATTATATTATTATTAACAGGTCCCGTAGAATGCCGCCGAGGCGTTCTTCTCCTGACAGAAAGCATGATCGAATTGCTAGGTGGTGAAGTTCAAGAAATAGCGATATCTAATTCACTGGCTGGTCTAGTATCTAGCAAACTCGGCCTGCCTGTCACGCAAGGTTGGTTGTCTTAGCCAATAATACCATTAGCCAGTACCAAAGCTCATATCGTTCCACGTCCAACCAAACACTTATTAGTAAAATAATTATAGAATATAATAATAATTCATTTATTTCAAGCCACTTGGACCCATAGTGTAAGTTACAATGTCACTTAAAAGTTAATATTAGTAATAATATATATACTGTTAAATTATTATAGAAAGAAATTTGGCAAATTTAATTATTACAGAATTACATTAAACTTGACTTGGACTTGTCAACTTATGTCTCTTCATAAAAATACAGACTTTTCCACATTGGATCGTTTCGATTCTTTGTTAAAGTCTTTGAATGCAGTATTAATTACTTTTAAAACTAAAATAATGTGTCCATGAAGCAAAATATCTCATTTACAATATTGAATTCTTATTTTATTTAATTTTATTTATTTATTTAAATATTAAATTTTACAATCAGACAATATTCTATATATAATTCTATGTATATGAAACACGAAACCCAGAAGGGCGTAGCAATGTCTGGAGACAGAGACAGATTTTAATCTAATACAATCATTCAATCTAGTTATCAGTCTATTAATTTTATTAAATACAATAATATCTAATCACTAAAAAATTCTTTCAAGGACTAAAAACATTTATTTAGCAGAAATTGCTTTACAACTTTATAAAAAATTTTATCGCGTTGTTCATTTTTGAAGTGATCGTTTAATTGGTTATAATTTTTTATTGCCATTGAATTCAGTTTTGATCCTGTTACTAAAGCTAAATTATTTTGATTGAAATTGCCCTTAGTTTTCCATAGCTGTGTCACGCCATAAATACTCGTTCAGTAATCTCTTACTTCTCGGTCTCTGCTATAATGTACTATTTTTAAATATCCCACAGAACCTGACCAAAACACAACAATAACACAACCTCGCAATGCCACTCTCCCAGCTCCGCATACACAAATGCCATCACGCACCGACCAACATAACCTGAGCGTTGAAGACTCGAGACCTGTCGCAAGAGTCACGAGCATTCAAGTGTCAGCTTTCAATGATGACGACATAGATTTTGACCAATTAGAAGCCATTGAAGCCCAATTCGATAATAGACCTTCTACATACACAAATAACGAGAGAAATAGAATAGATTCCCAAATGGAAAATTCTGGGAAAAGGCCGTTACAAGATTCTGGTAATAAACCGGAAAAGAAATTGAAAATGGAATTGAATGCGTCAAGTGATTATCCGGAAGACAATGATTTGGTTTTCGAAGACGAAGATTATTTGAATGAAATGGAAGCAAAATTCGATAGAGAAGAAAGATCTAGGATCGAAGGACCTAAAGAACCAGTAGTAGTGTCGGCAGAACCGTTTGTGTTTATTAAACAAATTAACGAATTGAGTGTAAGTGAGAGAGCGGGAAGAGTTTTTAAAGTTAAAGGACAGATTATGAAGCTTTTGTCAAAGGTGAGTTTACAAGCAAAACCATTTTTTTCCAATCTGTTGTATCACTAATACAAGTGAAGTTTAGAGCTTATTTAAAAAGAAAATGTATTCTATCCGCTACTGCATTATAGCCGTCTTGTCAAATCACTGACAAAAACCAATAACCAATGTTCCACCTAACAACTTCAATCAAACAAGAACATTTACAGCAACTACGTGTTCCGAACAAAATACTATCAATAGAGTTTTGTTTTAGGGTTGAATTTTGTCAAAGAGTATCGGTACCGTAGTACCGTGGACAGAGGCGACGGTCTATACCTATTGGGAATGATTTAGGCAGGCAGATAAGATTTAAGGTTTATCAATGATATTTATTCCTAGTTGGGGAATGGGTTAATGTAAAGTCCCTGGCAAAGTCGCTATTAGTTGCATAGTAAATTTTATTTCATTTCCGCTTACTATTTATAATTATTATATTACAAAAAAGATAAATTAGTAAAAGAAAAAAAAATACAATCCAGTTGTTGAAATTATTGACGTTATGTTATGTATTCACGGAAAGGCAAAGATCTTTATACCATGCAGACTAGTTTTTTATATTCTTTAAATTTTTATATGGTAACCATATTCACTATTTTATTCATAATATTATCCCTGCTATGTTATCGTGTAGTCAGAACGCTCTGTTGCTTATTCATCTATGATATTGAAATGTTGTGTTTTCTACCGCACATCAGTGAAACAGCGTGTATGGAAAGCCGCATCTAGTACGCTAGTACATAGATATCGTTGGTTACACCATAATGCTAAAACCAGTTCGAAGTGATATCGCTTACATTCTTCCAAAGTCCATAATGATCCCGAAGACACTAAATATTAACAAACGTAACTGTCGACCACTGTGATCCAACGGTTTACATTGTGGGCGCTGGATGAGGAGGTATGAAGGAATATTAATTTCCTATACTTATAATAAATTTCTTCGATCCCAGTTGTCTGTAGGTAAAGACGGATGGAGTCTAAAGTGCACAATAGTAGACGGCACGGGCAGTATTGACGCGGACTTCACAAGCAACGTACTTTCTAAATTGGTTGGGTTCACCCCCCAGGAGATGAACCAATTGAAGAAACAGATGGTAAACAACCCAGTGTTAAAGGCTAAAGCTGTTGAGGTGAGTTTGAATTTTGTTATATTACTTTCTGTTTCTTTCTTATAATGTCCAGTGATGGGACCGACGATGTGATGGTAAGCTACACACCTGTTCATAACAGTTGCAGTGCCACTCAGAGCTTTAAATCGCAAAGATCTGTGGGGCACTGCCACTGCGCTCTTCACCATACGACGTAAGTTGACAAGTCCCGTGTGCCTATAATTTCACCAGCTCCCTTACCCTACAAACCGGAACGCAGTAATGCTCCCATTACTGCTTGGCGGCAGAAATAGGTAAGGTGGCAGTACTTCTCTGGACGAACTCTTTCACAAAGAGATATGCTGCTCCTAAAATCTGTTTATTAAGTCTAATATTTCGACTGAAAAATTTGAATGCAAGGCCATGAATTATTCGCGCGAGCATCGTTTTTTGCCGGTTGATGCCCTGTGGCAGATATTTTTCTTCTCGTATCAATGTGTATGTGCGCTGTACCGCTTCGCCAACGTCTGGCATGATTTGCTGGGAAACGTTGGCTTGAATCCAACCGGATCGCAGTTAATTTTTCTAAGTGTTCCAATTTTGTCTATAATTGTAACAAACTCCACTAGTAATTTCACAAAAAATAATTTAATATCATGTTGGTGCAACATCCTGATATTTAAAACTTTTTTAAACTGGCAACATTTTGTCCAGGTAATAAAAAATGTAGTAGGTCAGTTGCTATGACTTTGTAAAGTGGTCTTGATCGCTAAAAGGTTTTCTGCCCTCACAATATTATTTAATTTTTCAATTATTTTTTTTTCTTTCTAAATTTTCTGTGACTAGATCGCCTGAGGCGTGCTCCACAAAGGTGGGTATTAACCCTTACCTCAAATCTGTTCTCAATTAAATATGTTTGGTACTTGTAGCCTATCCTTCGTCCGCAAACATCTGCACTGTGTACTTTATAAATTTGTGTTTATGGAGTATCGTCGACAGGCTTCAGCACTACATTCATACTACAAGTATGTATATATGGAATATGCCAACGATACGTTGACAAGGGTGGCAAGTGGATTTCAATCGTTAGATTCGAATTATATTCAGTCAGAGAGGGACGACCGCTCACGTGTTCTCTTTCTCACGTGTTTTTGTTTTGTATGATATGAAGTGACAGGACGAACGGTGTTGTTTACCTGGTGGTAAGCGACAGACTTGTCCACAGCAGTTGTCACTCAGACCTTTTACGTTGAAGGAACTAATTGAACATTGTTGTCAATAGTGACGTGCAGTAAAATTTATGGATGTATAATTTTATGACTCAATTCGGCATTTGTTTTTCGAAATTCGAAATTTTTTAAAATGAAATCTAATACGATCGTCACTAATGGGATAGCTGGCCAGCACAACTTCTACCTCTGGCAAACTCGCGTCATAGCTCAATACAAAACAAAGCAGTTTCGAATTAACGATATAGGTATTAATTAAGTAGGTAAACATTTTTATTTTCGTTTTATTAAAACGTTTTAATCAGCTACCACTTGCAATACTAGTTATAAACCTAAAAACTTATAGATGTGACTCGCATTTGATTACAAATTAAATTTAAAATTAGATGTTAAGAATGTTGAAAATTGTTAAAAAATTGTTTGTTTTTCCTTGTTTGGAAATGCAAAAATTAAATATTAAATTAGTATAAGTTAAAAATGTTAAATGTGCATTTATAGCTATGGAAGAGCGGTGCCTCCTGACACAGGCTTTGATAAGCTTAAAAGGAGGTACCATCCACTGTTAATGTAATGTATCATCTCAATATTGTAATCTGTTAAAACGGCCATCATAGCGTGCCAGTACTGTAGTCCGACGAGCCTGTAGTTTCACCATGTCATGCATAAGCATTGACTTACAATTATATGGACGTCGGGTCCGCGCTAAAAAGTGTCCGCACTTGTAAGGCGCTAAAATCGTATACAGAGCGCGACACTCCGCTTTAGTCTTCATTTGTTCCACTGACAGCGCGATACTGCGATGACATTACAATTTAAATTTCGAATAGGTTGACTTGGGACATTTTTTTCGTGGTTTTTGTATTAGACCCGTCGTCCATTTATTTGTAAGTCAATGTGCATAAGAGAAAGATAAAAAATCCATTCTAAATATAAAATCTTTTAATCCATTTCAGGCCCTGCAAAAAGCAAAGGACTCGTTACAGATCCTATACTGCATAATAGAGCTAACAATTCTAGAAGTGCCACAAATTACCTGCCTTATTCCTTTTGATGATAGCCACGTGGATTTGTTGAAGAAACGAACCGGAGACAGCGGGTTATAGCATGAGGTTCTACAGTAGAGTACTTTTTAAAGGTCAATCTTCGGTGCTATTCTAATTTTATTAAGCTGTTGAATACATACTATGTTGTAATTCGACGTTACAATTTTCTATAATAAATAGTCGGATATACAACTGACGTGTAGTGCGTTGCTACAGTCCATTTGTTTAGGTACTTAACTAAATGTAAACAATCTTGATACATCTTTTTATTGAAACACATGCTTTACAAATCAATAGGTATAAAAATAGGCATGCAATTTCATATGAAGCTAAGCATTTGTATTTTGTATTTGAAGGTAAGGGAAAATCATTTTATAAATGTATATTTCATTAAATAGACATCTCAAGATTGTTTACATTTATTTAAGTACCTAAACAGATGGACTATAGATTTTGATGAAATAAAAATAAAGTTATTTATTAGTGTTGCCTTAAGGCTTAATTTAAATTGTCACGGGACGAAATCATACGGTAGCTGTTCATTGACGTGGTAGCCATTGATTTCGTACCTAATTATTTTGCAATAAAAATCAATGGAGTTCAATAAATATCACGAAATCGACTCATCCGAAGAACAGAGTCCGATGTGATTGTATAGCGAAAAGAGAATAAGTACGTTTCGAGAACAATTTCGTTATTCAAACTAAGGCTTATGTAAAGATGTTTTGAGAAATTATATATCTTATTTCGTTTCGAAATTATAAAATCGAAAAACGGTCAATCTAACCTGATCCACAGCGAAGTAGAACGAACGAAATGTATTATGTCCTGAGAACAAGTAGTCTTGCACATAGACCTTTGTTCTACGGATGAGTCGAAATAATAAGGGCGCATTTATACGACACGAATTTCATCGCGCATCTGGTTACGACCAACATTCAATCGACAGTCGATGGAATATTTATCGACTGCAATCACTAGCTGGTTGCAATTTTTTGCGTAATGAACTGCCATTTTACTTCCATCTTCAAAAAGACAGACTATACAATTAGCACTGCCACAATAAAACTCAGAGATTTTTTTTATTCAAATGTAAGTGCGCATTTGACCTCCATCGCACCTGATGGAAAGCGACGATGGAGCATGCACACCTAATAATGCCTTTTCACTCTTGCCTTGAAAAGGTGCAAGCTATAACGTTCAGGGAACAAGTCTGCAGGCAGGGAAATCCACTCTATAGCCGTTTGCCCTATAAATGTGGAAGCGTAACGCTTCGTTCGCATCTTTGGAATATCCACAACATAAGGTCCAAGTCTACGTCGAAAACTATGTAGAAAGTCGACCCTGCGCCCAGCACCATAGGTAATCCCAGCATTGTACCAACTGAAGAAAAAACTTTAGTCCGTCTATATTCGCATTTTTTTAATAATACCAAATGACGTGACGAACAAGTCGTGGAGAACAGTTGCATTCAGAGCTTTGTTTTTCTTTATAATGTTATAGCTCCATCGATGTTTCTGCCATTGTTGAGTGAAGGAACACATGCGTTTTTTACTCAAAATTTGAGCGGTGGATTTCGATAAATATCACTGAGAAGGGAATCTACAACAACAGAGAACTTAGACTATCACAGGAACAAATTGTTTTTTAAATAAATTTACTCAGGGCATATACAAAGGGGGTGGATTAACGTTAGGAGAAAGATGATATTAACGGGATTTTAGGGGGGAGGATATCATACAGAGGAGTGACGATACGGTTACAGTAAAAAACAGGTGCTCTTTAAATCGCAAAGATTATATCTCACTGCGCCCGTCGCCCTGAGACATAAGTTGACAAGTCCCAAGTGCCTGTAATTTCACCAACCGGAACGCAGTAACGTTCACGTTACTGCTTGGCGTTTTGAACAAAAAGGTTTTGCGTGTCATTACTTATGTATACAGGGTTACAGGAAAAGTCGTGCTAGATCCGTTAAGGGCGTGGAGTACTCATCATTTCTGACTTATTTTACTATGAAACACCCTACCCTTTTCGAGATATTTGACTTTTATTTTTTTTATTCAAAATTGCCGATTTTTAGGCTACTAAATTTAATTTTGTTTATTTTGTGTGTCTTATTATTATAATTATTGCATTTTTACATGTGTGATAAGATGCTTTAGGACCTCAAACATTAAAATAGTGAATAAGTTAATTCAATACGCCGTAGTAGAAAAGAGAAAGTCAAGAAATTAAAAAAAAATTAGAAAGTTTATTTTTCTCTAAGGGATATCTAAAAAAAATATTATGGCAGTTGATCGGCAGATAAGTTATAAAATATCTACGTTTAATCAGCTATCTAACAAGGTATAACAATCTAGGGTTTTATTTAAATGCTTTGAAAAAACTTAGTTTCATAGGCGATAGTGGAGGAGAAAATTAATACTTAGCCCTAAAAAGTATAACAAAACAATAGGTAAGCATGCAAAGTATTTATTAAATCAGGTTTTCACACAACTTTTTGTTATTCTACAGTTCATGTTCAACATGGCCGCCTCTGTTTCTAATACATTGTCGCATTCTTCTACGGAGACCAGTCTTCACTACTCCAGTGGTCAACGTTGTCCTCATTTGATTTGCTGCATCCACAATCCTTTCTTTTAACTCTTCCACAGACGAAACTGGATTTGACTCGCTGTAGACAAGACTTTTCATGCGCCCCCACACATGAAAATCCATGGGGGTTAGGTCCGGACTTCTTGCTGGCCATGGCAACGGCCCACCTCGTCCTATCCATTTGTTTGGATAATTTGTGTCCAGCCAGTCTCTGACACTTCTCCTGAAATGGCCATCATGTTGGAACCACATGTCCCTGATCAAGTTGAGTGGCAGATCATCCAGCAAATCACTCAAGTCTCCTCTCAAAAAAATTTCGTAACTTTCCCCATTTAGATTGTCCGGGAGAAAGTAAGGTCCAATCAAATGATTGGAGATAATACCCATCCACACATTCACGCTGAATCTTCGTTGGGAACGCTTCACTCTTTTCTTATTGGGATTCCTAAGTTCTTTTGGGGCCCAGTAATGCGCGTTGTGATAATTAGTTATGCCATCTTTATCAAATTTGGATTCATCTGTCCACAAGATATTTCTTACAAAATCTGGGTCTTCTACGTCAGCATTTAGCATAAATCTGCAGAAGTCCAACCTTCTCGCGGGGTCTCCTTCTTCAATAGTGTGTACCGGCGTGTAATGGTACGGGTATAGGCCAGCAGTATGCACTGTAAACCACACTCTTCATTGCGAAAGTCCCAGATCACGGGCAACAATATTAGTGGAAGTAGTCGGATCCGCTCGAAAGCGTTGCACTATCTCATTGTCCTGTTCTTCGTCGTCATTAATTCGTGGTCTGCCCATGTCTGTATTTCGTCTCAAAATAGAGCCAGTTTCTCGAAGTCTCCGATAAACTCTGTCAAAAACAGCCACATCCGGCACTCGACGACCGGGGAATCGAGCTATGTATTCGTTGCGAGCTTGCGCAGACACACAATCGCAGTATCCGTAACAAATAAGCATATCAGCATATTCCTCAGGTATGTACGACGTCATCTTCAACACTTCCGTAGCACAAGTACAAATCAAAGTCCGGTTAACAAGCACAGTAGTCACAAATCGGAAAAAACAGTCCAGAATCACAGCCAAGTCAAGAAAAAGAGCAAAACGATATCACATCTACTATGTACGAAGCACAAAAGCAGACTGACAAACAAAACAATATCCCGTGATATCTTTACAATATTTTTTCTTTCATTCGCACCTACATAAACCGTCGCTTGTCTCACTCGCACGGTGCGTCTTAACTTAAGGACAATAGGCGCGGGACCGTTAGAACTGCTGACTGGAGCGTCCCAACTACTTTTTTTTTCCACGAAATGCAATACAAATCCTAGATTGTTATACCTTGTTAGATAGCTGATGAATGATGTAGATATTTTATAACTTATCTGCCGATCAACTGCCATAATATTTTTTTTAGATATCCCTTAGAGAAAAATAAACTTTCTAATTTTTTTTTAATTTCTTAACTTTCTCTTTTCTACTACGGCGTATTGAATTAACTTATTCACTATTTTAATGATTGAGGTCCTAAAGCATCTTATCACACATGTAAAAATGCAATAATTGTAATAATAAGACACACAAAATAAACAAAATTAAATTTAGTAGCCTAAAAATCGGTAATTTTGAATAAAAAAAATAAAAGTCAAATATCTCGAAAAGGGTTAAGTTTAGGGTAGGGTGTTTCATAGTAAAATAAGTCAGAAATGATGAGTACTCCACGCCCTTAACGGATCTAGCACGACTTTTCCTGTAACCCTGTATACGGATTTATATCTAAAACTTATATGTTGTAATTATTATTTCTCAATTATTTATTTGTGTTAAGTGGTAAATAAATATTTGAAAGTTAATTGTTTGGTTTCTTTTCATTCCCTCTTCCATCAACAACGACCACCTTCTGGATATGATCGCCAATAATAAACACTTTTTATTGGTTTTATTTTCGATTATTGAAAAATGGGTTAAGTTTTTATCGACACTAGGCGGTTAAATCGGTTGTCATTTATAAAATAAAAAACTACTTAAACAAACTTCTCAAGTTTGAGATTAATTGGTGCAGTTGTCTGGCGTAATATTATTTTCTACATAAATGAAGAAGCAGAAATAAATTCGCCATATACAACAGCGTATTTGATAAGTATCCAAAATTAAAAGCTTTCATTTACAAATAACATCCCTCCTCCCCTAGTTATCTTCGTGAACGTTTCCAATACCGTCCTAATCGTCTCTCGGTACTAATTTGTCCCTCGTCCTTCCATACCACAGTTCGCAAAAGTATTCAGGCCCAGGAACCAACTTTCTTTCTTTCCAGGAACCAATTCTTCCAAGATTAGCTGGAAGAAATAAGTTTATGGGATAAACTAGCCTTTGAACCATACGTTTGAATACAGTTACCATACTTGTTTTGTTATATTATAGTTTTATTCCTGTTATTTCTCACCAAAAGCGTAAAAAATAATAAACAACAATTTTTTACAACTATTTTATTTAATACACCTGTTCGTAACGCAATAATATGTGAGTTCAATATACAAAAAATATTAAATTAATTTTAAAAATAGTAACATAACACAGGCTAAATATTAATGACAATATCGACAATCTTAATCTTGACAAATGCAAACTTTAAAAACAAACGGAACCTGATAACAGTGACAAACGTTATTTTTATAATACAAAATTTTACACGGTAGAGATGAAAACATGTACACGTTTCACAGACTTTGTCTCCTGAAGAGAATTTCACCAAACTTTTGCTTTATTACATATTTAACAGAGATATATAAAGATAAAAGATCACTTCTTAAAACTGTTATTTGCTTCAATATTTCGATGGCAACTTGTTACAACTCTTTTTACTTTATGATCGTTAGCTTTGATTTCACATCATGTAGTGGAACTACTAACTGTGAAAGCGTGTACAGTTTTCCCAATTTTAACATGTAACTGTTACATAATGGCAAGCAAAACTATGCACGTAACATTTTGGTACAAAATTCATTTTGCGAAAGCATCCAGTTCAAATAAATAAATAAGGGTTTTTTGGCTACGTACCCTTAAAAAGACATGCACGAACGTGTTAACAAAATTGAGCACTCAAATAGTATACAAACAATAATATTAAATAGTTACATAATTGAAAACTAACATTCTGTGACATTAAAAGTAGTAAAAATTTGTTTATAAATTTCATTTATTTTAAATTAAGGTTGAGATTGTTTCCTAGCTGGGGACAGTATACAGTAATGCAGCATTATCACATAACGCCTAATACGAAAGATATATTCGACGAAAAATAACAATTTTATCGAACCTCTTTCTTAACTAGCAAGTAATAAAGAAGTAATGTATAGATTACTGCGCGTGGCAAGTGTAATGCGACCTTAATGTTCCAGTAGACCTAGTCGATGGACGTCCCTTTTCGTTATACTATAAAAAAATAATTAAAACACTAACTCTACCGCAAACTATTTACAGCAAGGAAACAACGTTAACCACATACTTGGGGCGCGGTGTCATTTCTAGAATCTAACATTTCAAAACATTATTTACATAAACTATGTATTTACGCGCAATGGGTCGATTACTAAAACCTTTATTGGAGGAACTTGAAGGCATACTTATAGGCACATCTTGGGAATTTTTACGTCTCCACATCGCCGTTAGTTATCAAAACGAAAAACTATTACTCGAAACACTTTTGGTCGAAACACAGGTATTTCCTGTAAAGCTTTAGTAGACAATGGTAGTTAGTCCTTAATGGACTGCCTACCGCGTTAATAATCTTTCGTAAAGTGTAGTTTCCTGTTATTATAATCTAATGAAAACAATTCCTCTCTCTCTTACTTCTCCAGTAAGTGGAAGACAGGTTCTATGAATGATATATTCGATGAAACGTATTTCATGAAATTCGAGTCTACTAATTTGTAGTTCGAATGGACATAGTTTATAAGTTTGAATTATAGGACTGTGAAAAGAACGTAAAAAAACAGCTTGCAATGATTAGTATTGTATGTAACAATGTTTGATTTAAATTATTATGAATGTATAGCAATTGTTAGTGCGAGATCAACTTGAGGCACTTTTCTTTCAATCCATAATAAGTTCCATCCTCAATGACTAACATTTCTGTCTTTAAATAAAAAAATATTGATCACAAGAAAGTTTTTACAAACCAATAATGCATAAGCCAGACATCATAATGGTACAAATAAATAATTAAAATTGGTTAAGACATAATTATCCAGAGCTGTAGTATCGATAGCAAATATTGTAAAAATTGACACCTCAATGGAAGACTATATCCCATTGAAAAACCGAAATGTTGTTATATGGGAGCAGAAATACATAGTTTTCTATGCTATGACGGACACAGAACATGGCGTGATATAGCTGTCAATAAATAACCCCTCTGATTGTCGTTTCGACATTTCCTCACACGCCCTCTAGTAGTGGAATATTGAACTTTGTGACATTCATTTTAAAGCGTCCTTGACCGATGCTTATCTACCGTGTATGTACATATACAGTGACAGCAAATTCGATGATTTGGGTTGACATTTCAAATTATAAAAATCACGCCAAAAATAAACGCTAGCTATACAATAACAAATCACAAACAATAAATATTTTAAAACGAATAAATACAATGCTAAACTTCTTACGTAGCATGCGACATTTAAACTTATTGGGATGAATGATATTTTTGATGATGCAGAATGAAATTTATTAAATTGATACAGTAAGTAAATAATATCTTATAGATTGACACTATCAGATCTGTTGAATAGCATTTTAATAGTAGGTCTCTTATGGTTTGCGAGATGGCACTACATTTTTAAAATCTGTTTAGATGTAAACGATATTGGCTACCGCTGTGGGTAGCGGAAAATATCGCACGTTCCGCGACCGGGTAGGCGATATTTTTTCGCTTGCTTTGCGGAACAGGTTTAGCCGCACAACGCGGGAGCAGTAGCAAAAATAATTCCCTCCGGACAGCCCGCAAGTCAATGACGATTAGTTGAAATAATAATAATAAATGATAATGGATTTGCTACTCACAGCGGTAGCGAATAACGCGTATATCTGAATAGGCCTTTAATGTCCGTTGTCAGTAATAGAAATTAATTCTTTAGAATTCCGCTTATTTATCGCCTAGAAATGGATGTGTTTTGCCAAGTATGCCCCAATTCGTGATTGTATTACTTAAAAAACAAGAAGGCGAGGTGTTTTTGGCATTCGAATTATTCAACAAATCTGTCTACAAGAAAATAACGACTTAAGTATGATTCATACCTGACGTAGTGCGTAAACTTTTCCTTAAGTGTTTTTATTGTTATTGCATTATAACATCTGCTTCCGTCCGTGCCAACGCACTCCGTTAAGTGTAAATCGTACTTTAATGCCACACATAATGGTCGTACAGGGTTTTCAAACACACGATTACTGCTTGCAATATTGATTCTCGAATGAAACAACTTTAAACTCATACAACACAGTAGTTTCAAATGATATTAAAATTACGTATTTAAAATAAAACAATCAGTAATCATGTACAAATGAGTAAATACAAATAACGAAGTCATAAGAAAATGCGCGGTGTTCGCAACCGCGGATATAATAAGCTGACAAAAGCTATATACAGCGCGACAAACATAGTAACGACGTTCCTTAAACGTATGTCCGACTCTACAAGCATCAGTCTTCCACTTAAATGCCACCCCTTTTTAAGCCCTTCTCTGACTCCCTGAAGCTTGAAATTTATAAAATCCTCTCGTAGAACAGGAGATACGCTTGTGCCCTCAATACTTTCTCTTCGCTTACTTCGGATACCATGCTGTCTGAAACATAATACCATTTCCCAAGTGGGACTTCAGCCGATGGCGTTGGACCTTCTCCGGATTCGTAACCAGAAAGATCTGATTCAGAATCCCCATCGCCATCTCCATTACCCGTTGGGGCGGGCATTGTATTACTGCTCTTCGGTAAGAACCACCACCGAGGATCCCCAGTTTTCACCGGCTGCCTCACTTTGACATAGGCCACATAATGTCCACCGTGCATACCACCAGAATGCTCCACAACGCCGTAAAGGGAATATAGCAACTCGTTCTGCCCTCTCATAACATTGGGAAGCTTTCTTACTTTTTCCATGGCACAAAAAGGAGCCAAATCTAATACAGTTGGGAAGTCAACATGTTTAGACATCTTTCTAAACATGCACCTTGGTCCAATTTGGAACCTTTTCAAGTGCAAAATTAAAATGGCTGGAGGACTTGAAACTAGGAATCGTTTAGTTGCATTGGTATAAACTGTCTTTCCATCTTTCCCGTTAATTCGTTCAGTGCAAGTCTCACAACCAACTTTGTTGTTGCCTGTAAGAAGCTCCAGAGCAGTAAACTGGCTAAGACAAGATTGGATGCTGCACTCGTCTTCATCACAAATGTATCGTGGGGACAATGGACTTTGTCGCGAGAAAGTTGACATGTAGTCTTTCTGAGTCTTTTCAGCTTCAATGTTGTTGATTTTCGGCCTCGGAACTGTTGGTGGCGGGTCTGTGGTAATGTCAGTTGTCACTGGCGTTGGGAAGGAAGGTTTCTTAGCTTTGACGTCATCCATATCGAGTTTTAACTTGTCCAATTTATTTGACATACCTTGATGATTGTTTAAATCATTGAATATCGAATCCTGAACTTTGCTTTCTGGTAAGGATTCGTAACTACTTTCTCCGCTATGTTCTAGTAGATTCCTGCAACCTTGAACACTAATGCCTCTAGAGACAACTTCATTTGAGTATTCCGGGACGTTATATTGGGATATCCTGGACACTGGCCTTTCGAAATCAGTTTTGACCGTAGATAACTTGTTGTGTTGTGGACTGGACAAGTCCAAATTGATCTCGCTAGATAGAGAACTATGGCTTCCGAGTTCTTTGCCATTGGTTGGTGAATCAACATTGTCAACAGTTTCAGTGGAATTATGTTTTGTAGCTTCTGGACTGGCCACTCCTGAATCGGGATTAGAAAGGTTCTCTAATGAAATAAGGGGTTTATATTCTAAAGGTATTGCTGTTGTAGATGTGCCAGTATCGGCGAATTCTACTTTATCTTTATCTGTACGTTCAGGGGTGTTATCGGTTTTTTCCTTGTCAATTTCCACTGGGCTGGTACGGATGGAATCTGAGCTAATGACTTTCTCGGAATTATACCCCGACTCCATGTGGTACGCTGCAAAGTTGGCTGCAGTGTGGGCAATGGCTTGGGTACCTACAGATACAGTATGTGTGTCGGCCTGCCTAGGCATGTCTTCTAGATTGTCTTCGACGTCAGCATCAGACTCTGAAGAGGACTTACCGTCTTCTTTAGCACCGTTTGCATCTGTACTGGCGTCTTCTTTGTTAGATGTCGAATTTCCTGAAACAAACGAAATTACTGTAATGTAATGTAATGTGTAATTTTTGAGGTACAATAAGTTTCAGAAATTTTAAAACGGTATGAAAGAGACGCCATTCAACAGTAGATGGAGACTAAATTGCCCTTGACCAACTGAACCGTCAAGATGAAATTCGACGAATAAAAGGGTTTAAGCTGATAGTACCCGTTTAGTCTAGAATGAAGACGGACTTGAATATATATGATTTGTTCATTTAAGAGACACCAAATCAGATATAGATATCAAAAATAAAGTAAAAGCAGAAAGCAACACAAAGAAAAGCTACCTTTATTCTTCCTAGCAGCCTTTCTGGCAGCTATCCGTTCCTTCTTCAGCTGATGCTTAGAAGTTTTGCTCTCCTCTTGAGTGTTGTAAGTATTCTCTTCTGAAAACGGGATATTTGTTATTTGGGATCAGCACACAAGGCATTATTTACAAACTGAACACACACAGTCACACACTAAAGCATACAAATTGTTACTTTTCGCTGTTGTTATTAATATATAAACTCTATGTATACATGAAGTATGATTAAATTTCTCATGGGATATTAGGACAGTTTGTACAAATGCACGCGTTTTTATGCTGGGAAAAAGGTATTTTTTATGTCAAGCAGGTTTAGCTTCTTGGAGTCACGAGATAGACAGGAACTGCATGTCATAAGACCGAAGTAGACTTTTTTTGGAATATAAATCGTGAAGATAATACTTTCGATTGCGATCGATTAGCAGTTACAACGTGCAGCTTATAAGCGCTGCTACCACTCCGTATATGCAGATCCGTCGGTGCCCGCCGCTGTAGGTATCTTTTAGTAGCGCACAAACAAAGTCCGCCATAATATATCTAATATACCTACGCTGCAATAGCCTACTAAATCTGACAAATGACACCAGGGGGCCTACCACAACCTCTTAAAATAATATTACTTTAACCTTACATTGACTTTTCGTACCATAACGCGCTTAAAGTAAGCTTATTGTAATGTTAAAACTATGATGTTTTATTAGCAGCTTTGTGACTATTCATTCACTCAGTTCATACTATGACGCGAATTTATAATCTCAGTACAGAGTACTAAAAAAACCGACCTCAAAAGTACGTGGAATTACGTCTATTTGTCAAGTTTCATTGAAATATCCCCTAGTTCGCCACTATACAGGACTTGATACTGGAGATAATAAAAATAGGTTCTCACTACGACACTACTCAAAGTATATCGAGAGAAACGCCTTGCATTGGAGGAATAGCAAAATCAACTAAATAATTGCTAAAAGTAATTGCTCCTAAATTAAAGTTAGGCGCTATTTATAAAAATGAATCTTCATGCGTGAACAGCCACCCTTTGAGGTGGATGATTTTCTTCAAAATGAAATGGGACCAGTATGGAAATACCCCCTTTCCAACAAAAAAAGAATCATGAAAATCGGTTCACAAATACCGAAGTTATCGCGTAACATACATACAAAAAAAAAGAAAAAAAAAGAACATACAGTCGAATTGAGAACCTCCTCCTTTTTTGAAGTCGGTTAAAAATTAAAGTTATATATATTGCACTTATGTCAAATGAAGTAATCTTAAAATAGTTACATGGATGCAATCGATACAACATTATTTTCAGTTTTATTGTCTTAATATTGATTTGTAATGATTAAAAGTTAAGTTGAAGTTATTTATTTACATATATCTCTTCAATATTTTATTTTTATTTTTAATTTAATAGCACATAGGAAATTATTTGTCGTTAAATAAAAGTACGCGATGTCTATTTCGTAAAATTAGGACAGCGCCAACTATATGCTCCTTGGCGAAAATAACAGTTGACACTAGACTACAGTTCCGAATTCACAACGTGACTATCAAGACTCAGCTTGTTTTATTTATTTTTCTTCATGAAACTGCGGAATAGTTATTGAAAACAACGTAATTTTAATAGATTTTATTATTACATACTTTTCGTTTCTTAACAGTCAAAATTCTCTGAATGTAAATAACATTAAGTACTTAAACATTATACTACGATAAGACGATTCGGATCATCAAAAAGAAAGAGATGGCATTATATAGATCACATAGCGCTATCTCTTTTCTATTTTTAGTAAGGAATAGACAATTGGAAAATCTGGAAAAAAAATTGGAAAATCATTCGTTCTTTCAATCACTTTTGCAATAATACATTACTTGGTTGACAGGTTCGCCTTGGTACGAATATGAGTAATACTATAATAAGCTTACTTTAAGCTTACATTGAAATAAGATTGTTTTTGGAAAGGTTATGGTAGGCCCCCGGCGCTCACTACGAGGAAAAACGAACCTAAGCACGCGCTCAGAGAGGTGAAAATAAAGTTTCCCACCGCGTGCAGTCGTGCGGAGCCGAATGCTCATAAATTAAAGACTTGTGAGCGCTTGTGCCGACGTCGGTTCACTCAGCGGTAGGCACTTATCGCGTGACTTTGAGCGAGTGATGGAGACCTGACCAAGTCTGATAATTATTTTGAAACCACTGCTCATTTTAATTCCATTAAGACTTCACCGTGGTTACGTTGCAATTTTGGTAGTATTTGTTATTCTGCTAAAATTTAGTTGGAATGGCAGTTGAGTCTCAACAGAGTGTCAGTGGAATCGCAGTGATGGCATTCATTCATTCGAACACTAATTATCGTTGTTGCCTTACTAAACTAACCGTGGAAATTACTATACATATCTTAATTTTTATCTTGTTTAGGCAGCAATCTAGTCTTCAAACTAAATGTACTTTTTACGTCAAATAATTAATAGACTACGCCATGAACGTGCCATCGATGACCATTGAAGAGTAGATTTAACAAAAAAAATTAAGGCAGTTGAGCTCGATGGCTAGCTACCATCGAGTATATAACCAGATATAGCGACGAAATAAGGGCCATCCATCATAGGCAACTCATCAAGTAGATGGGCCATATATCACTTTTAAATGTCGACTCTCGTTTGCGCTGAAATCACAAATCAGAAAACTGAAATAGTACAGCGCCAACAACTGACCTGTGTGTACGTCTCCAAAAACATTCTGTATTTATTGTAATAAAGATAATATCTCTAGCAATGGGGGTTGTTCCATTCGGTGGTGTGGGAAAAACATCTAACAAAACAAACGGTATCATATTTCAACGGTAATTAAACATTACATATGTAATTTTTCAATTTTCGTCCATTATAGCAAAGCTTTTGAACTGAAACGATTGACGGACTGAAATGAATGACACCTGTCAATTGTTTCGAATTCGAGCTGGCCAATCGAGGCGCAGTTGTCACCGTAATGATTTGCCAGAATAGTTTTCAAACAAATTAAATGACATTATATATATTTCTGGTTATATACTCGATGCTAGCTACCGACAAGCCACTACTTTTAACTTTTAGCAGATACTAAACGTACAAAATCCCGCCATTGACACTTATCTACACAAAACTGAGATGATTTAAAGTTATAAGTCCGCGATAGCTCAGATACTCAACATGTATTTCTTAATAAAGGTCGAAAATCATTAAGGAAGTAATGTTATGTATGGTACATGACTCACCGTTGGGAGTTTTCCTTCGTACGACTGCGGGCGGTTGCGGACGGCACGTGGCGACTGGCAAAGACAGATCCAGAAAGTATTCCTGACGGTCCGAGTGATGGAAGCATTCTTGGCATTCGAGTGTCGACACGAGAAAACCGCGGAACACCTGGAAATATGAAAAATAATTGAAGGGATACTTTATAACTATTGAGTTATATAATCAAAATTATATGATTAAACCTACACCGGTGTTATTTGTGATGAGAAAAGAGAATGCCTTACAAAAATATTCATGAGTGCCACTGACTCTTTTATGTCATCAAGTGACGGGATTATCAAGCGATAGCAGTTGCCGACATGAGTTAACAAGTCCCATGAACCTGTAATTTCACCTACACCCTTACCCTTAAAAACCGGAACGCATTAATGCTCACATTACCGCTTGGCGGCAGAAATAGGTCAGGTGGCAGTACTTTCCTGGGGCGAACACTTTCACAAGGAGCTCTAATGTTACCAAAAATAAATTGATTCAATTGAACAAAGGTACTTTTATTACTGCTTTTTTTAATAAGGATTCTGCGATATTTTCTTTTCATCTACGTATGGTCTGTAGGCGAAAATTTTAGATCTTGAGACACTGAAGTGTGTAGTGAGAAGAATAAGGAATCTTGTATAAAGATTGAGAAATGCAAGTCAAGCAAGAGAAGTTTGCCAGACATTAGGGTCGTATTTCCAGTACTTGAAATCATACTCTCAAGTCCTGACTTGAGCATTGAGTAGAGTTCTGGAATACGACCCTTAGATTAACTGCCTCCGTGGCCGAACGGTTACCATGCTAGACTGCCACGCAGAGGTCAGGTGATATATGGCCTGGACCGGCGATGGAACTTCGGGGAGCATTTCCGGCAACTTGCTCCCCGAATAGTGGGCGCCGCATCGGCGTTGGGCAGGCTCCTGCCCAACCTCGGGAGGCCGGGAGCCCCATGCAGAAGGCTATACGCCGGGGTGACTCGGAGTATGGCCTTATACGGGGCTCCCATTTGGAGTGGGGCCATATCAGCGGCGACGAAGGCGCTGCTGAGGAGGCCCCAGAGGGTGGTCGCCCTGCGAATGTGCAGGGCGTACAGGACGGTGGCCTGCGCTGCCGCATGCGTCCTCGCCGGTACTCCGCCGTGGGACCTCGAAGCCGAGGTCCTGGCGGAGGTCCGCACCTACCGGCGGGGAATGAGGGACCGAGGCGAGCGACCCGCTCCCCAAGAGGTGGAGCAGGAGCGCCGCCTGGCGGCGCAGCGCATGCGGGACCGGTGGAAAGAGGGTTTGGCGGATCCCCCCTATGGCGCTCGTACCATAGAGGCGATCCGCCCTGTCCTCGTAGAGTGGGTAAACCGGTCCCACGGGCCACTGTCGTACCACCTTGTGCAGGTGCTGACCGGGCACGGCTGCTTCGGTCACTACCTGCACAAGGTGGCGAGGAGGGAACCGTCCCCGTCGTGCCACGAGTGCGGCGCTGCGGATGACATGAAAGGTGATATATGGCCTACATTTATTTCTCTCCAGTGTTTGTGGTTGTCTACCTATATGTGTGTCCATGGCATCCGCGATACATGGAATGGTTTAAGGAAATTAACATTCTTACACTAGCCTCACAGTGCATTTATGAAAATGTAATTTATGTTAAAAGGAATAGTAATTTCTTTATGAAAAATAGTGACAGACATAACATTAATACGAGGAATAAAAATAAACTAGCTTTTCTTGATAGTCGTCTTCACAAAGTCAAAAAATCATTTAAGGGGCAATGTATACGCTTCTATAACAAGATTCCGGTTGATATACAACATTTGCCTTTCACGAGGTTTAAAACTATAGTGAAACAGAAACTTTATACTAAAGGTTATTATACAACTTCTGCGTACTTGGATGACAAAAATCCGTGGTAGTAACCCGTTTAGCTCATGGAGGTAGTCTCGATCTCTGATGTTTCAAATAAAAAAAAAAATATTGTAAATGCTATTTACAAAGAGCAACCCCTAGAGTTTCTTGCTCATTCTTCTCAGGGGAATCTGCCTTACGAATGAGCGGTAGAGTTTAACCATTGTGTCGATTTCAAGTATAATAATGCTTACCTATGAAATAAAGATTATTTTCAATTTTGATTTTTTGAATTTTGAATGGTTTCCCTAGTGCAGGGATTTGAGTGTGTGCGTTAAAAAAATGGCTGTGAGGAATTATTCCGTACTTCTAAGTCCCCACTGCGTTCAGTTTTTTAACGGTGCTGATCAGCGAAATTGAAATACTGTAGATTTCTGTGGAGCTAGCGAAATTACAAGCACATGGGATCTATCAACTCTGTGTTTCAGGGAGACAAGTGTAGAGGCCGTTCGGATCTTTGCGATTTAAAGCTCTGACGCTTACCACCAGACCCACATTTTTTTTGTTCCATCACTTGGTATAAGAAAAAGAACATATCGATACTTCCCACGTAAGTTGTTGTAAGTGAAAATACCATTTTTTGCTTTTTAACTTAAATGTATCTATTTTTTGTTCATTATAGGTTCCAGTAAGTAAAGAAATCATTTAGGCTTATGTTTAGTTTAATTACCCTGAACACATTAAGGGTGCAATATAACAACGCTTTTAGGATGCTGATGGGGCTGCCGTGACACTGTAGTGCACGGAGTTCACGGAGGCGCACACAGATGGCTTTCATGCCATTATGCGCAAGAAGGCTGCCTCACTTATGCTGCGTGTACGCGGCAGCGCTAATAGCATCCTAACCGTTGTTGCCAATAGGCTGGACGGCCCCTACCAACTACATTGGGTGCAACTACACGTGGGTAGGGTAGTGGTCTAGACTCACTTCTCACTAAAATTAAGTAATTTTGTATTATACTAACCATAGCACGTAAGTAAAATTTACTGTATTACTAACATTATTATGGATCATGGTCCGAAATAAATAATTCTACTCTATTCTATAGTTTCAAACATGGACAACCTATAATATACATAAAAAAGAATATATTTAAGTTAAAGCGCAAAAAGTGGTATTTTAACTTACATCAACTGATGTGGGAGGTATCGAGATATTACTCATTCGTATCGGTTCATCATTCGTTAATTCTTCTGTTTAGCATGAATAATGTTTAAACCCACCTGCTCAGGCCTTAACATGGTATCAGAGGCCTGTTGTCCATAGAACTTGACCTTCTGCTTGACTTCCCCGTCGACCTTGGCAGGGTCGACCTTCGAGTTCATGCCGAGACTGCTCAGAATCACTGCTTGGTAGCGGCGTAGATCCTCAGATCTATCAAAAAAATATATAAATAATAATAATTTATTTGGGATTTGTGTACTTGTGTATATAATCTATTTTAAAAACTTGCACTATAAAAAACTTAAAAACTGCACTGTACCAAAATGGTATGTTCCACAAATTCCCACTAAAAAATCTTGACTGGTGGGGATCCTGAAATTGCAGTGCTTCTACTTATAATTGGCTATTTTTGTGTTAACCAAATAAAAATCTTTTACAATGAAAAAAAAACTTGCACTTAATAATCAATATTATATTATATTGCAATACAGATACATTTCAATCAATTATTTCGTACGGAGTAGAACCATGGACACTAACTCAGGCATTATGCAAACGGTAAGAAGCATTCGAAATGTGGATTTATTGAAGAATTTTGAAAATATTGTGGACGAAACACCAATGACAACTTTTGCCGAGGATGCACAACGGCTTGAAGCTCCTGAACACAGTAAAAAGGAGGAAGCTGCAGTACTTTGGGCACATTATGCGGAGTGATAAATAGTCTCTACAGCAATTTATTCTGCTTGAAAAAATCCAGGGCCATAGAAGACGTGGTCGTAGAAAAACCACATGGCTTCAAAATCTTGCAGAGTGGCTCACCATAAGTACCATAGAACTGTTCCGAGCCGCAACTGCACGGACCCAAATTGCCACAATGATAACCGACCTACGGTAGGAGATGGCACCCCAAGAAGACGAAGAGAGATACTTAGATAGTTTTATTGTTTTTTATAATATCAAGTGACGGGACGAACAAGATGATATATTACAAACGACAAGACATTTTGAATATCCTATAATAGAACCGAGTAGACTTTTCTTACGCGTTCAAGGGCGAAGATAAGCAAATTTGTTTGAGTACACATTTAAGAATATTTTAAACGTCCAAAAGTCCATTTTTAATTTAAGAAAAAATCACAATTAACCCGTGTCGAAGACGTAGATGTCGTTGACGAAATATTGGCGCTGAAAATCAAATCTGTATCTGTAATATATACAATAATATCTTGGTGGGGACTATTTCCAAAAATCGCCACTGCGTAGCAAGTACTACATTAGTGGGTTTTTTGAATTAAAACAAATGACATTTTGGTCATCAATTCTCACGACGTTTTCCTTTATTGTAATCTTTTGTCTAAAGATTTATTTTAAAGAGGTTTATGATTACCGCTTTTTTGTTTACGTTTTATTCTCATTCTAAAAAAACTAACTATAGTAACGCATACGCAATCGCTATTTCACATTCAACATATATTTATTTCATAGATAAGCCAATTACCTTGAAATCATCGTAGTACTACTTATTTGTAAGGCACATATATCCTCCCGAGTCAGCTAATGGTCAAGGCGAAACCTTGTAAAGACTTGTACTAATAACAAGTACGAGTATCTAATTACTTCTTTCCTGAAGTGATTTTATTACATCACATTTGCATGACCTAGGTTTATTTATTAACTGTATTGTTTAACGTATTGTTTTTTATTTTACTTCAAAGCTTTATTTTTATTTTATTGTTTCGAAACCGGTATGTTTAATATGGATAGTGCGCCCTGTTACTTTTTTTATAATATCAAGATGATGGTACGCTACACGTCTGTCCATAACAGTTGGCGTGCCACTCCGAGCTTTAAATCGCAAACATCTGAGGGGCACTGCCACTGCGCCCGTCACCCTGAGACATAAGTTGACAAGTCCCATGTGTCTGTAATTTCACCAGCACCCTTATCCTTAAAAACCGGAACACAGTATCAAATCAAATCATTTTATTCGTCATCATGGGTACAATAAAGATGATAACATTTATTTTATGGTCGCCATGACGTACCATCAAGGCATAAGAATTATACTATTATTATTAATTATACTTGTCCAATACTTCCAAATAATATATTAATAATAATAAAATAAAATTAATGCTGACATTACCGCTTGGCAGCAGAAATAGGTAAGGTACTTCTTTTTTTTTTTGTCGCTGTGGGGGAGTTCTTTTTTGGTATGTAGGACTCCGGGGGCGGTAGTCCCGTATACCCACTAAAACCCAGCGGTTTACTCCACCGCCATAGAGAGAGGATCCGCTTGCGCATACTACTGGGACGTCTCGGCGGATGGCCTGCATATAGCGGGCCCAGTCCTGTGGAGGGTGCCCCGGGCGCCCTTTAGTCTTGGTGGAACGGGTCCCCCGACCCCATTCTACGGCGGGGGAAGAAGGCGGGCGTACTGCCTCTTCCGTCACCAAGGCCTACGTCTCTGAAGCGGGTCAGAGAGGGGGTCGTCCCGTCTGGAGCGCTCCGCAGCCTCCTTCTGCGAGATTACGCTTTCGCAAAAGGATACCATAGCCTCCCAGCACCTCTCGCTGCCGAGCATTGGGCCCACGATTGTTGGCAGTGAGAGATCTCATCCCATTATGGCAGTCAGGGAGTGCCGCTGAGGGTCCCAAGCCGCACATTCCGTCAGGGTGTGCCACGCCGTGTCGACGGGTGCGCCACATTCGTGGCAGACAGGAGTCCCTTCCCGACCCGCCACGCGATGCAGGTACTCATCAAAGCATCCATGTCCGGTGAGCACCTGCACCAATCTAAAGGACAGTGTCGCCGGTTAACCTAGCGGACGATTGGGGACTCCAGGTCCTTCGCCCATCTTCGGAACAACGCGGCGCGGCCCGCTGTCCTGATCCGCCTTGTTTCTTCAGCATCAGGGCTTTCCCCTCTGCTTCGCATGGTTGGTTACACGGCACCGGTGCACTTCCGCCTGAAGTTCCCACGGGGGATCACCCGCGAGAAGTGTGGCGGCCGTTCACGATACCGTGCGGTACCCCTGGATCGCTCTCACCGCTATAACCCTCTGCGGCCTCCGCAGGAAAGGCTTGAGTTGCGCGGTGAGAGCCCTACCCAGAGAGTTCTACCCAGATGGGTGAGCCGTAGAGGGCCATACTCCGGATTATTCCGGAGTACAGGCGCCTGCAGATTGAGCCTGGTCCGTCGACGTTTGGCAGGAGCCGAGGGCGGCTGCGGTACTCATCTGCTTTGGGGCAAGTTGGGAGAAATGCGCCTTGAACGTCCACCTCCCATCCAGTACAAGGCCCAGGTATTTCATCTGAGCCTTGACTGGGACCGTCTCCCCGAACAGGGTGATTTTCGCCCCTCTAGGGGGCCCTCTGCGCGGGCCGTGAAATAGGAGGGACTCCGTTTTGTGTATGGAGATCCTCAGGCCAAGCAAGTGGATCCTCTCCTCCACCAACGACGTCACGACGGTGCTCAACCGCGCGACTTCTTCATATGTCCTACCCCAGGCAGTGACGAAGGTGTCATCTGCTTTGCAGGCAGCGTAGGAGCCAGTCAAAAGCAACGTTCCACAACATCGGGCCCAGCACGGACCCCTGTGGAACGCCGTCCTCCTGAGATAAAGAGGCACTCTATGGTACCGGAGCGCCATTTATTCAGCCAACTATCCCTTGATTAGCTTTTTTTTAATAATACCAATGACGAACAAGTCGTGCGCCTGCTGGTAAGCGACAAGTCTGTCCATTACAGTTACAGTGGCGCACACAGCTTTAAATCGCAAAGATCTTAGGGGCACTGCCACTCGTTACCCTGAGCACCTAAGGGTGGAGTAAAGGGTAAGCCCTTTAAAACCAGAATGCAATAATATCCACATTACTACTTGGCGACAGAAATTGGAAAGGTGGCGTAGTTCTCTTTCACAAGGAGCTCTACTTATAATCAAGGTAAATTCAAACTGTAATGAATGAGGGTCTGTGGAATATATTTAACCATTTTGCTAAGGTGCACAAACGGAATGAGGCTTAGAGATACTGTCACCAGTATAATTGCGTCTCCGTGGTGCAGAAAGGCAGCATCTACTGTAAAATTTAGTTAATTTAGACTTTAGGAGTCGATACTGCCTCAGCTCGATTTAAAATTTTTCCCGTGCTAATACAGTTCATATTGCTTGGGTCGAAGGGCAGGTAGCCTGGCTTTTTTTTTTAAACGAATTTATTTTTTTTACAAACGCAAATAAAGTCATTTCAAAAATGTATATATCGTATACTATAGGTGTTCTATTTAGTTGATATAGAAAGAATCATTGACATAATAACATATTATTATATTAATAATTCTTTTCATATCAACTTTACATATCATAAAGTACCTATTGAATACAGCAAGAAGTAAGTTTGTGTTTTTTTCTATCGTGAAAATTTTTAGGAACCGTGTTTTCACACCAAACCATAGATTTAGTATATTGGTACCCACAAAGATAATCTTTTACCATTTCTGCGATCAGATTGTGGAATTCTCTCCCCGAATCGATTCGACGATCCCCTTCTCTTGATTCCTTCAAACTACATACGTGTCAAGGATCACTTCCTCAACTCCTAAATTTCGTCTGTCCTCTACTATCCTTTCATTTATTTCCTGCATTTATACTTCATTTTTCTTTTTCCTTTAAAAGTATATAAGCATTTAATATTATTGTGTATTTATTATTATGTATGTATTAATAATATTATTGTAATTTGTATGTATATGTATATATCTATCTATGGATATGTATATATTTTTATTATTACTTATTATGTGGTGTACTTATGATGATATTCTTTGGTTGCACCCCTCTTGCATATCCGAAATGTCTAGCCTAAGGTTGCCTGGAAGAAATTGCTACATAGCAATAAGGCCGCCTGCTGCACATGGACTTACTACTACTATTATACTTCAGCTATTGTACTGGATTTTAATTGTAATTTTTATGTGCAATAAAGAATATTTCATTCATTCATTCATTCAAAGATAATCTTTTTTAATTTAAATTTAATTTTTTGAAAGTGATTGATTCAACACATTTACTGCTATGCGGTATCCACCAAAGCCATTTCAGGTTGTAGACAGTTGATGTTACTTACTTACTGCCTTACGACAGTGGCGCTGCGACTGTGCTTCCAGATATTGTATGAAAATTAGGGCTTCTATAATGCTCTGGCCACACAGAGGCCGTGGCGGAAGCGTTCCGTGGCCGGGAATTTTTGTAACGTTCTTATGCACCCAACGCTAGGACAAATTGGCGGGCGCTAAGGTCTATTCTATTGCGTCCTACGCAACCGTCCACACAGAGCAGCAGCGGCAGGGCGCGGTCGGGAGGGGGGTTTAGTGGGATTGCACGCTGTATTTATTTACAACCATTGACTTACAATTATATGGACGTCGGGTCCGCGCTAAAAAGTGTCCGCACTTGTAAGGCGCTAAAATCGTATACAGAGCGCGACACTCCGCTTTAGTCTTCATTTGTTCTACTGACAGCGCGATACTGCGATGACATTACATTTTAAATTTCGAATAGGTTGACTTGGGACATTTGTTTCGTGGTTTTTGTATTAGACCCGTCGTCCATTTATTTGTAAGTCAATGTTTACAACTCTTAGAATGTGTTTTTATCAAGTTTCAGTGAGAATTCGATCGAAATTCCTTTTGCGTTGCTTCCGTAACGCAATTAAAAGTGGAACATTTTTCTTGAACACTGTCCGACAGCGTTATGGTGCTTTTTCTAAAGTCTAAGCAGAAAATGACATGTGGTTGCTTTTGGGTGTCACAACTGCCGCTTTCGCACCGCTGTCCCGCTGCGAAATGTCAAGTATGAAGCTTCATTCGCATTATATGTCTTTTAATGTAATGAAAATGGGAGAAGATCCTCCCGGACCGCGTCTGTGTGGCCTAACCACAAACGTCTAATTTGAACGCGCCCTAAGTTCAAGCAAACTATGCTTCTTATGTTATAAGTTAACATGAAGGTGGCGTGGTGTGTTCATTGGAACAAGATCAATGGATTTTATAACGATAAAACAATAAAGAATAAAACAGTTATCTACATTGACTAACCTGACAGCTTCAAGGAGATGCCGCAGCAGCTCGTGGGCGTCGTGCTGGTCGCCACCGCCGAACTGAGGCAGCTTATTCACTAACGCTGAGAGCAGCTTGCGCGGTGTGTACACGCCGCCTTCGCCTGAAACGCAAGGATGTGCTTTTATAAAAGAAAAAATATTATATGCTGTACATGATACACGATATATGTTTTTTTGCAAAAATATTTTAATTTGTTTAATAACGATTTTTCGCAATATTTATAGTCATCACCACATTTATCATCATATTTTTTTTTATGATGCTAAATCACGGGACAACAAGCGTGTGTCCGGTGTTAAGTGACACGCCTGGCGTGGCCTAGAGTTAAATCGAAAAGATCTGAGGGGCATTGCCAATGCGCTCGTCACCCCGAGACATAAGTCCCATGTGACTGTAATTTCATCCTGCAATACCGGAACGCAGTAATGCTCATACCGCTGCTTGGCGGCAGAAATAAGTATGGCGGCAGTACTTCCCTGAACGAACTGTTTGACAACAAACAAGTAACATCAAACTTGTACGATACAAAGGTAGGTGTGCTACAAAGGTCTGTTTTGGACCCTGTACTATACACTGCAGATCTACCAATACAAAAGGTTAGAACTGTTGCTTATAATAATAATAGTAACCGAGTACCGAATATTACTCGGTTTAACATTTGCCGAGCCGAGTATTCGGACGAGTTACTCGGTTCATTACAACCGGAACGCGATGATCCTAAGAGTCTCAATGCTCTAGAATTAGACCGATATATCAATGAAAGTATATCGTCGCGAGAGCAGAGTCCTTTCCAATGGTGGGCAGGGCATAAAACAAGATATCCAAAACTGGCACAGTTAGCACGAGTCTTTTTAAGTGCACCTGCAAGCACTGTGTATAGCGAGCGGTTATTTTCCGAAGCGGGTAATGTGTATGAAGAAAAAAGAAAGTATTACCTGAACGCGCAGGAAGCATTGTATTCCTACATGACAACTTGCCTTTGTTAAATTTCAAATATTAATAATGTAAACTTTCTTTTTAAATTACTAAATTGCTACAAATTGTTACAATTGTCTAGAATTTCTAGCAATAAATTTCTTTTATTTTAAATATGTTGGTTTCACTTTATTATGTCTATAGCTGTAATGCTTTATTTTAACCGAGTACTCTTCTCATGAACCGAGTTATTCGGCCGAGTACCGAGTACTTGGCGCATCTCTAGTATTTTGCCATGACAGACTCCGCTCTGCGACCGCGCGGGGTGAGCGCGATGAAATACGTGTCGAATAAATGCGGGCTTAGGCTACCACAGCTTTTTATTGATAATGATGTAATATGTAAATTAAAGAGAAGAAATTCACTCAGTAGAGGGTTTGCCTGCAATGACTCATTTCTTAGCAATACATTTGCTAATAGTGGCACTGATTGCAAAAGATCCAACAAAAAAAGTCACCACTAGTTGTAATATCATCTCATTAACATAAAAAAAATGGCAAAGCAAAACTAGGTCAAATGAAAACAAGTAGGTTGAATGAAAATGTGAGATGTCTAAAAAAAACTTCAATTCAAACAGCTTCTATTTAGATATATGATTCAATTCTTTGTGTGGAATTTATAACAAAGAAATAAGGAACTAGAAATAGATATGTAAACGTAACTCTGGTCTGGCAATTTATTACTATACAAAGACATGGTCTGTATTTAGACTCAGTTACGAGTATATTTGTGAATGTGCATTAAGTATGTTTAGCAATGTACCAGAGGTGAAAAGTAAATTTGAATTTGAGGAATGTAAATTTGGATCATATTTGAAATCCGGACTTCGGGATGAATCCGGACTTTCTCAGAAAACTACAAGAATTCATTAGACTTGCGATTTGCTTGAAAAAAATCATATTTTAGTATAATATCAATCAAAGTTTAATTTAATCTTCAGTAAGTAATTGAGATCCATACATAACACCTAATATAATTAGTCTTCTTCGAAATTACGCATAGAATTTGTCTATCATGAAACTTTACAATCTGTATTGTAATCAGATTGTAAACAATTAAAAAACATAACCCATGAAATATTTTAAAACTCAATAACAGAAAAAATATAAAATTAACTAAAAAATTTTTACCAAAAACACCATTTCGTAACCGTCAATAAAATGAAAAAAAAAAATAATAAAAAATTAGACTGTGCTTAGAAATAATCTAACATTTTCGAGTTCTTAGGTTTTCGCGATTATTACACATAGGAAATGAAACTATTTTTCCGGATTTAAATCGCGTATATTTTTTTTGTTTGTTTGTTTGAAAAAACAAATATACGCGATTTAAATCCGGAAAAATAGTTTCATTTCCTATCTAACATTTTTCTCTGAAATGAATTCCGAGCGGAGCGTCAAAAATTGGTACAGATCAATCCTTAATCAGTGTCCTTTCTAATAACAAATCAACACACATTCCAGGAAACCTGATCTATGTCTGTCACCAAGCAGTAATGCGAGCATTATTTGGAAGGGTAAGCTTATGTAGGTCAACTTACGTCTTAGGTTGACGGATGCAGGGGCTGTACCCATAAGATTTTTGCGATTTACAGCTCTGAGTGGCACTGCAACTGTTATGTATAAGTGTATCGCTTATCACCAGGCGTAAGACTTGTTCGTCCTATTGCTTGGTATTATAAAAAAGGGCAAATCTAAATAAAAAAGTCCTTCAGCAAAAATACTGTATTCTAAATTCATTAATTTAATTTTCATTAAAATTCTAAAAATACAGAATTTGGTTGGTTTTGACTTCAAACTCTCAATCAGTGGTGATCACAATGAAAAAATAAGCCACTCTAATGATAACAATAGCCTGTGTTCACCTGACTGCAGTCCATAACAATCTTAACCCCAGAGAAAGATAGAAACAAAATAAAACAATTTCTAAGTGGTATCATACAGGGAACTAACCTTTCAGAATGTGTTATATGTCTATTAATAGTTTATCTTCTTGATTCATAGCATGAATACAATATAATATGTACAATAATACTAATTTGCATTTTAATATCTAATACAAATAAAGAGATAGTTACAGTTTGATAATGAAATGTAAATTCAGACAATGTTTTTAAAATTTGCACATTTTTGTACCTAAAAAAAAATAATCTGAGCCACCCAATAGAAATATGTAATAGTAAATAAGGTATAATTGGTAATAAACAATGCATTAAATATTGCTTTCAATAGTTTTATAAACATTTTGAAACCAGGTAGGGTTACAGTTAATTTATGTTAGTACATTTTGCTTATTTACACAGGTGTCCTCTGAGGACAGAGTTTTATGCCTAAGCTTGCCACACCTACAGGTTGGGAACTTCATATCTTCAGAGTGACGTGACAAACAAGGTTTATGCGCCTGGTGGTAAGCGACATGCCTATCAATAACAATTGTAGTGCCTCTCAAAATCGCAAAGATGTGAAACAAAGTAGGTAAGTCTGGTAATGCTCACAGTACCGTTTGGTGGCAGAAATCAGTATGGTCGCAGTGCTTTTCTGGAGGAACTCTTTCACAAAGAGCTTTACTTATGTGCACAATAAAAAATTTGTAAAGTTATACTGTATAATACTAGTAGTAAGTAACTTACCAGCTTGCAACTCTCCTAAAGTCTCAGCCAATGTCCTGGTTAGGGATCCCCATTCAGCCAGCTGTCCAGTTATAGGTGGGAGATCAACATCTTTGATCTCATCTCCTTCCCCCTTCAATTTTAACTTCCCCCCAGGCAATGTAAACCTTTCTCCTGGAGTGGACATTTCTTGAAGAACTTGCAATAAATATGGAGTCTGTACCAAGCATTGCATTACAGAATTAAAAAAGCAAGTGTTACCCAAGTTAGACAGACCTCGAACTCTAGGCAGATTTAATGCAATTGCCTTATCTTTTCCTTTTGAAACTACACCTGTTTTCATGATATTATCCCCAGGCGGCGGAAGGTCAATGGGTTTAATTTGGTCATAATGAAGTTCTATAGTGGGCAAGAAAGTGTTTTTAGAGTTACCGCCAGCTACAGCCTGTTTCTTAAGATATTCTATACATTCGTGAAGCTTCTTGGAGGTAGCTGTAGTCACTTCATTGTTGCAATTGTAGCAATAGATCTCCCAAGTGGTTGTATTGGCAGTTAGGGCATGGCAGTCGGAGTGGGGTGTATTGAAGTGGTTTAATGCGTGCTTGTTACGTGTCCGCCCGCATAACTGAGTGCCACATCGTAGGCACATCCACAAAGTGAGATCGTCTTCATAATCAGGGTCAGGCACCTCATTTTTAGCTGACTTTTTACACTCCGCGCACTCCTTATCAAACCCTCGAACCTTGAGAGATTTCTTCAGCAGCGTAAGGTCGACAGCTTTAGCAACATGAGGACATGCGGACTTGACGTTTTCGTCACAGGATTCTGTCGATTCGTCCCCATTTTCCCCCGGGTCGCTCTGTCTCTTCTTCTTGACCATTCTCGGTGTAATTCGGTCAGCGGACTGCCTGCAATACGTAACGAGATACTTTTGTAAGAATAGCACGACTACAAAAAGAGAAAAATGACAAATCTGTGTCGATAGCCATTGCACGCGTGACAACGCATATTCATCACAAAAGTCCAACAGGAATAATGTGACAGTGTCAAAAGTTTATATTATAAACAAGCGTAATGCTTACAGTTACATGCGACGCTATGTAATCGAGATTTGATTGTCACAACCGCTGTAAAACTTAGATTTTTCTTCAAATTTTGGTCAGAAAAGTAAACCTCGACCGTCAGACATATTGGCGATGTTGCCAATGTAAAAAAATAATTTAAACAAAGAAAAAGTTAATCGTATAGATTTCTTAGGACACCACCACTTTTTCAACAAAGAATTAAATCGATATATTTAAGAATTACCCGGTATCTGGGCTGTAAAATTTCTATGACTGTCCCTCTAGTGATGAGTAGCGTAACTAAAATTCTGAAACGTCAACATGGTCGTGATGGAATCTGCTAATCAAATTGTGAATTTCCATTGATTTTCGTTAATTTTACCTCTAAATCTGTTTAAATTTGTGTGCAAATTCGGGCTGTATAGTGTGACGCTCCCTGGAGTGTAGTTAAACTATGTAGTTGTTCAACTAAACAGTGTTAAAATAGAAGTTATCAGATACTGTTGATGTTTTTCACTTGAAGTTTTGGAAAATCGGCAGAATGTCACTTCCTGGGAATGGGATCTTTGTGGTGCAGGGGGAGATGGCGATGCTCGTCACTGCCATGCGACGAAGCACTCGCTGGGGCTCTCATTCCTTTCCGAACGAGGAGTACGATGTTTTAATGAGGACCTTTCAAGATTTGAAGACTATTTTGAGTCAAGTAGACGACCTGCGTCTTCTTGACCCTCCAACATACCTTAGCCCTTTCTTAGAAGTGATAAGAAGCAAAGAGACGACTGGTCCTGTGACTAGTCTAGCTCTTTCTTCCATACACAAGTTTTTGTCTTATGGATTGATTGGTAAGTATGATGAAACTTAATGAAATAAGTACTTTTAAAATTTACAGTCTTGCACAAAACAACTACACAACAATGTATCTATTGCATATAAAAATTTATGAAGAAATGTTTCACTATACTATTATATATTAATGTATGATGTAAAACACAAAATTTTATAACAATAATTTTATATCTTATAAAGCATATCTCATAGTATTTTGATTTATTTGTTTGGATTTTATTAAGTGCTTCCTTGATATATTGTTTTTCTAATGAGGCTGCCATTATTTATAATAATAATAATATAAATAAAGAGTTTAAAAATAACCTAATTTTTGCATAAAAAAATTGGGTATCATGTAAAACAATAATTTTTTTTTTAAATTTAAAATTTTTTACTTATCATAATATAAAACACATTCAACTAACATAATCAACATTTTAAGCAAAATTGCATTATTAACATTATCTGGGCCTATAATTAATTTGTAACTTTGTTTGTTTGTGTGTAAACTATCATATTAACAATGACATTTTGAATATGTATTACACACATCTAAACTACTTATAACAGCTAGATATATAAAAAAATGTAAGAAAGTTTATAAATAGTAAATTTACTCGAGGGCTGTAGCCTGGGGCATTGTGCTCAGAAGGCTAGCAACATTTCCCCTTTGAATTGCTAAACTTATTTTTTATTAGAAATAACTGCCATGCTTGTGGTCTCCAGAGGCTTCTACAAGATGACCTGACAGCTATAATTAATTCTATAATTGGTTTTCTAATATATTATTTAGTTTCAGTTTTATTGTTGAGCAAACTCAGCATAGTTGACAATTTTTAGATCACAATAAAGCTTTAGGTGCTAATGTTACTGAAATGCAAAAATGCATTAGTTATGACATGGGTGGCAGAATATGAATTCTTATTTATTTTATTTTATTCTGAACAACAACAGCTATTAATAATAATTTACATTGAATATTTTATATATATATATATATATAGCAAAAAAGATAAAGCTATGTGAAGTTTACAATCCTGACGTACAAAAACCTGTGCATTAAAAAAATGTTAATAAATAAATAGACACAAAACAAGAAAAATAGACCAATTCTGTTTGTGGTACACCGCACTGTATTCAAATTTAAATTTCAGTTCATTTCAAATATTTTAAAATCTTTAAAACATGTCTCAGAAAAATTGGCACACAAATGTTACATTAAAAAAATAGTACACAATATATGCTTTTAAAATTTGAATGTTACAGCTAAAAAAATATAAATTATCAATAATGTGATGAACATAATATGTTAAGGTTTGGTCGGTTATTTTGCCATTTATTCCAGTCACTTTTTATGACTCATAATGTCATAATAATCACTTTCTAAATCTTAATTCTACGTAATTATATAATTTTAAATGATTTCTGATTTCACTTGGTCAAAATATATCTTGTGCAGTTTTTAAATTATATATAACCAACTGGTACATGCTTTGTTTGTTTTTACTAAAATGTAATATAGTAGTAATAATTACATAATACAATAATTATGCCAGACAGCCACACCAACTATGTACTGTAGGATTAGCTCTTATAGTTTCGACTCCAATTATTTATGTTCTTATTAGAAGGCAACATTGGCTTAGTAGGAGCATTCCCTATTATCAGCTTCTTAGCAGAGTTTCGTTGCTGTTCTCACTTAAAATTTTAGATGACTCAATTAATTTTCACATCATAAATAACTATCACCTTAAAGAATATTACAATTTTCAGACCCGACGCACCCCAGCGTACCAGCCACAGTAGAAGACATAGCAGATGCTGTAACACATGCCCGCTTCGTCGGAACTGATCATTCTTCAGATGGAGTAGTACTCATGAAGATTTTACAGGTGAGAATCACATTCGCACAAAGAATTACGCTTACACATTGTTATGGCGTACGACATTGGAGTGGAATTCCCTGCTTGCAGATTTGTTCACTGAATGCTATAACTTTTGTCTTTTCAAGGTGAGAATGAATAGGCATTATATAGGTGTGCAATTATGCATGCTCCATTGTCGACCTTATTGTGGAAAGTGGCTGTTGAGTGACATGGACAAATGCTTGCTTATTTTATCCATGAAAAAAATTACATTTTTAAGTTTGTTTCAATTATTGTACTTTGTCATTTTTTATTTCACTGTGTATATTTACTTAAATTTTATTGAATGTCAGGATCTTTCACCACCATGATATTCAATAATTTTTTTGTGATATGACTTCACTAGTTTGTTATAATTATCAAACGGAGATCGAACACTTAGAAAAAAATCACTTCAATCCACCCAGTTAGATACCTATACAGCTACCCTGCTAGCCATGGCTAGAGATGTCGCTATTAATGTTTAATTTAATTTTTATTGACTTGATGTTCAATTATTTTTTGAGACATTACTCCACTAGTTTGTTATAATTATTAATACTTTCATGGATTTTTCATGGCGCTACGGCTAAAAAGTCGTTAAAAACCAAATACAAAGATTCAATAACAAGCACATAGATAAATTCGTAAAGTCTGCTGGTTCGTTCCGTGGCTTAGTTGGCGTAGCGTCTGGCAAGGTTTGCTAGGAGACGTCGGTTCGAATCCGACCGTATCGAAGGATGTTTTTCTAAGTTGATTCCGGTTGCATTAATACTTATAACAAACTAGTGGAGCAATTACACAAAAAATATTTGAACATCAATTCAATTAAAATTTAATTATCAAATAGTCAAATGTATTTTTTCGCTATTTAAATGTTTTTCTTTTATAAACAATTAATCTTAGTAATACCTTAAGATTGTCATGTGTCATTTCCAAGGGTGAGAGCCTGGTGACTTGTAGTACAGGCGTTAAGCCTTTAACAAGCACCAGCTCCCAAAAATAAGTTATTGGATGTATCTTAATTACTAAGATCTATATGTACGTATTTTTGTGGAGGAATAAACGTTATTATTATTATTATTATTAATTATCTTTAAATTTTCAAAATGTTTCAAAGTCAAAGTCAAAGTCAAAGATTATTTTTTCCATAGGTAAAATAAATTTACACTTGAAATCGTCACATTTAAACTACTGCTCGTTCACTACGCTGACCTCCCTGAGAAGAATGAGCAAGAAACTCTAGGGATTGCTCTTTTCAAATAAACTTAAATGCTATGGAGTACACTTTGAATCAAATTTGTGCGGATTCTGGAGCCGTGTCGTCTTTCCATACTTCTTTATCTAACACGTAGTCTTCAATTTTGTAATATGATTTTTCGATCAAAATATTTTTAATGTAGTTTTTAAACTTAGGAAATGATAAACTTAATATATGCTCCGGAATCTTATTGTAAAAACGTATACAGTTCCCCATAAAAGAGTTGTTTACCTTGGTTAAACGAAATCGTGGTACCATGAGTTTGGACTTAGCTCTAAGGTTAATAATATGGATATCTTCTTTCTTATTGAAATTATGTATGTTTTTACGGTTTAGTTATATGGTCAGACAACTGGAGAGGCATAGTGTTTACAGCTTCATTCATTTAATTTGTTATAATATCAAGTGACGGGACGAATAAGTCGTGCGCCTCATGGTAAGATACACGTTTGTCCATAACAGTTGCAGTGCCACTTAGAGCTTTAAATCGCTAAGATCTGAGGGGCACTGCCACTTCGCCCGTTACACTGAGATATGAGTTGACAAGTCCCCTGTTCCTATAATTTCACCAGCACCCTTACCCTTCAATACCGGAACATAGTAATGCTGACATTACTGCTTCGCAGCAGAATTAAGTAAGGTTTCTTTTTCTGGTTTAGCGTTATTCGCTCAATTTTGTCATTTAAATTTCGTTTTTACCTGGACCGCGTCAGCATGTTTGATGCTATAACTCATTGACAATACTACATATAAAATACTCGTACATGTAACAGCATCAAAGCTGTGCCGAAGTATGCTGCGGGGTAGTGTTCGACCTTAACAAATAATAAGTATTGACAAACTCATTACAGGTGCTCCGTACGCTGATGCTGAGTCCGGAAGGCGTCATGTTGACTGATGAGAGCGTCTGTGAAATCATGCTTAGTTGCTTCAGAATATGCTTCGAGACGAGGCTCACAGGTTAGTACCTGTACTACTATGAGCTGTACTGTACTCAGTGTTGGGCAAAATTTAATTGTTCTGGCAAATAAGATTGACAATTAATTAATTGTCAATTGCGAAACATAATTAACGATTGATCAATTGTTAGTTGCGAGAATCGCAATTAACTATTAATGAAATGTTAATAGCGGTTCTCGCAACTAACAATTGATCAATCGTTAATCGCGTATATCTACAATTAACAATTAATCAATTTTCAATCTTTTCAATGTTTTTGATTAACAATTAACAATTAAAACTGACAATTATGATAAATTTATAGGGCATATGGGGGTGAGTTAGGGCGTGGGTTAGGATTTGTGTTGGGAGGTTAGGGTTTGGGTTGTGGGGGTTAGGGGTGAGTTAGGGGGTGGTCTTGGGGTTCAGTTAGGGTTTGGATTGGGGGGTTATGGGTGAGTTTGGGGTGGGTTAGGGGGTAGGTTAGGGGTGGGTTAGGGGAGGGTCAGCGGGTGGTTTAGGTGGGTCAGTGGTTGGGACAGGGGGTGGGTCAGGAGGAGGCGGCCCCCAACCGGCCCACCAACCTACCCCCAAGCGGTCCCCCAACCGGCACCCCAACCGACCCCCCAACCGGCCCCCAACCGGCCCCAACCGACACGCCATCCGTCTGACTGGCAACTGGGATCCCTATAACAATTGCCGTGAGAGAGGTCGAAGACAGAACCAGATGGAAGAAAATCGTCCATAAAATCTCAAAAACCTTTCACGGATACGACCTTCAGCAATCAAGATAACGACTAAGAAGAAATTATTAAACTGTTGTTACGAACGGTACACCACTACATATGAATTCCGAGCTTTCGCCAATGCATTTCGGAGGTTTAGTACTATAATTTCAAGGCTGCATTTTTAAACTTTACAGAACTACTCCGGCGCAACGCGGAGCAGTGTCTCCGCGATATGACGCAACTGATCTTCATGCGACTGCCTCAGTTCCCTCCAGAAGACGCGGCAACTGCTGCCTTTAGCACCATTGGCCTGTCGCTTAAGAAACGCGATAAGGCTGCTAAGAAAAAAAGTTTAACTAGTGTTCATAGTAAGTTCACCATACACATTGAAAGCTTAGTGTACAACACCACAATCAAAACTATCGGATGACTCGAATTTCCAAAAGGAAATTCAAGGTCACTGTCGTTCATGCCTTGTATTTCTTTCTTAATCGCTATCACTAACAATGGCTCATGAGTCGCATTAGTCGATAACAATGAAACTAAAAATGAACAATAAAAACAGCGTGCGCATCATAAACTTTGATCATTTTCTCGATTAAATACTGTAAAAATGTAAATAATTTTCTTTGTGCAATAGTTCGGAATTATACCAAGAGATGGCGCCACTTGTATCCTGAAACGCACTATCGGTTTGTTACAAGTGAAACATGATAAGCCAATGACAGTTCTTCTGAATTTAAAAAGGGTGTTTGCCGCTTCGATGGCACGTGTGCCGGCGACGGTGCGCGGGGTATGGCCATCAAGACATACCCAACACGTAATTTTTTGACTCGTGAGGCAGTTGGCTACCCTTAAGTACCGGCGCCTCCTATAACACAATGTATAACTGCATTCCCAGTGATACTGTTTTAAAAACAAATGCTACATTCCACTGATGGGCACAGCACGTGTTTCTGAGGGGTTTTGGTCATCATCGTAGTACAGCACTCAGACACAAGGGTGATAAGGATGGGGACTTTACATGTTATGTATATGTCTTTACATTACATATTATATGTATGTCTTAAACAATGATATTATACTTGTAAACGCGCGCAATCTGCGCCTTCAAACTGCCCCACGGCACTGTAGTCCACAGGCAACAGTGACATCAGTCACCATCTTGAATTCGAGTGAGTACAACGTCACCGAGACACGACAAAAAAGTATCAAAAATGGTGAAATATGTAATTAAAATTTGCAATTCTCGGTTCGAAAATGATCATAAAACTACTGAGGTTACTTTCCACCGGTAAGTTTGCTTTTGTTTGTTTAGATTGTCGTAAATAAAAATAAAAATTAAATAAATTTATTTTAAACATCAATGTTGCCTGTAAATCAATTTTCATTTGCCCATTATATTGGGAGTTAACCTTTCTGAAGTTACTTTTGACTTCGTAGTCAAAAGTGATTTTAATTCAAGTTTATTTCGTTTTAACGTAAAATGTAACCATAATACTATTAAAACGTAATACTATTATAAATGATGTTTTGTTTGTTTCCCAGTATACGTAAAGATCGAACGCGCAGGGTGGAGTGGTTAAAATAATTTTTAACCACTCCACCCTGCGCGTAAAAGTCGTATAATTACGACTTTTACGAAAAGATACTTTGAGTAATAAACACAAGGCAATTGTACAACAAGCTAATGGTGCAATAATAAACTATAGTTAAATATTTGTGTACTTGGTACTTGGTGTAACGGGCTAGTGTCCGCAACTCGACGTCAAGGCGCCTATTTTGCGTGTGGAAATATTTGTGTATCAAGTAATTTGTAATACCTACCCTTTTATAAATTTGTTTTCGTTAATTAGAAACAGAAACTTTGTCGGAAGACAGTATTTTTATCACCTTTATCCATAAATAAAAAATGCTGGAAAAGCAATGAATTAGAAAGTCATCTCTTCATATTTTAAAAGAACTGTGAATTCCAGGCGTGGACCCTTAAGTTCATACATTTTCATGTAAATTTCACTCACTCGTTCATTCCATTTCTGATTACTATCTATCTCCACTGTCTCTTTCCACTAGTAAGGCTACAAGAAATTAGGAAAAATTTTTTCTAAACCGGTAACACTGGTCGTATCCCTTAATGCACTATGACTATCTCATTTTGACATAATAAGTTTCACATTAGAAAAAAGAGACAAATATATTTTTCTTTGAAATTTCAATCAGTTTCAAAGTTTTTTTAGACAACTGTTTGTAGGACATTGCGTCTCTAGTATTATTTATGCTAAAGGTTTTTCATAAATCAAAAATTGTATAATACACTTTGAACTTTCCCTTTTGATCGATATTTACAATAATAATACGGAGAAGAGAAATAATTTTCGAAGTCACGAACCTCAATCTGTCAGGTTTACAAGTTTCGATTATGAACGTTACGTTAATAGAACAAAGTTTCCATCTGACGATAGTAGGTATTTTAGTTTCTAAGATATCACAATCATTATAAACCACTCTCTATGAGGATATACATATACCTACTTAATGCAACATATTACGTGTTCATTAATAAGTATACACGTAAAAATTGTATATGTATTACATATTGTATAATCATAATATCGTCGATGTTTTGTAGAAACGGCGTAAGCAATTTTTACATCCTGTTTAAACTAAATTAAAACCAAGTTGAATTTTAAAACGGGACGTAATTATTTTAAAACAGCCGACACTCGTTAAAACCTAAAACACGCTACCTGATAAAACTACTGCGAAATGCACTGTTTACCTATTTGGGTCTTTGCCTATTTGGCTCCTTTGATGTGTGCCGAGAAACCGATTAGCGCGCGGTTACGCGAGTTTGGTGTTTGCTGTATTTGTCGAATAGGCAGACAAGGCGAATACTTTGTCACACTTGCTATCTATACATGGCGATTGTTCGCACTGCCATTACAATAGTGTTGTAACTCAAAATATGTGAAATTTAATATTATATCATTACTGAACGTAAAACTTGATTCTCTACACTTCAAAACAACCGCCGTTAGAATATTGTTAAGAAACAATCAAAAGACATCTACTTAACTCAAAATGAGACACACTTTATGGAGCTAGTTCTGGCCAAAATAATCCTTATTGAAAAACATGAAATTATTTTTTCCATTTTATTGTTAAATATATTTGATAAATTGTTTAAGTGTCCATAATAAACTATAACATATAAATTTTAATGATTTTTTTGCGGGAAGTGAGTAATTCGTTTTTCATCGATTCTGAGAAAGTCCTCTTTTTGAGTTACAACACTATTGTAATAGCAGTGCGGTATGTCAAATATATGTCGTTCATTGTAAAAGTAAATTATGTCCTTGTAATTAAATATTGAAATAATGGGCATTTAGCAAATTATGTGTAGTAATTTTAGTTCTCTGAGTAACTAGTAATGCCATCTATGGGATGTTAGTGCAATTATTGGAGTTGCTTCACTTTTGTAATGAAAGATATGACTAAATGTTATATTTTTAACATTGACTTACAATTATATGGATGTCGGGTACGCGCTAAAAAGTGTCCAAACTTATAGGGCGTTAAAATCGTATACAGAGCGTCATTCACGCTTTAGTCTTCGTTTGTTCGACTGACAGCGAAGCAAGCAAAATTAGGCAGTACTGCGATGACATTACAATTTAAATTCAACGTTTTAGCTTTTTCATATTCCTTTACATGTCACTACGTTTAAATAGGTTGACTTGGGACATTTTTTTCGTGGTTTTTGTATTAGACCGGTCGTCCTAAGTCAATGACTTTTACGCAAAAAATATGTGTTTTAAAATATGGACTTACACCGCTTTTATAATGATCGACACATGTGTCAAATACGCAAATACAAGTCTCCCCATGTGAAGTGCCTTCAATATATATTTTTATCCTAATCACTACCTCGTCGTTTGTATCCATCGTGTATATAACCAGAAATAGAGACGAAATAAGGGCCATCCATCACAGGCAACTCGTCAGGTGAATGGGCCTTATATCACTTTTAAATATCAACTCTCGTTTGCGCTGAAATCACAAATTAGAAAACTGATATAGTACAGCGCCAACAACTGACCTGTTACGTCTCCGTATATTCCAAAAATATTCTGTATTTATAGTAATAAGGATAATATCTCAAACAATGAGGGCTGTTCCATTCGGTGGTGTGGGAAAAATTGCAAAACATCTAATTACAAAACGGAATCACATTTAATCGATAATTAATTATTAAACATGTAATTTTGCATTTTTCGTCCATTACAGCAAAGATCAAGTTAAACTGGTCGATTTGAAGTGAAACAATTGACGACATCATCGTCAATTATTCTGAATTCGGGCTGGCCAATCGGAGAGCAGTTGTCACAGTAATGATTTGGCAGAATAATTTTCAAACAAATTAAATACATTTCGTCTCTATTTCTGGTTATATATTCGATGTTTTATCCAACACTCGCGTTTCTTTCTCAAAGACAACATTGTTGTAGGTACTAATTCACTGGACAGGAAGTCTCCTACAGAGCCTCCGGTTGTAACGCCAGTGGACATGGAAGACAAGGACGTCAAAGTTGACAGTCTGAGACATAGGTAAAACAAATATACAAAAAATTATCATTGAAATTGTAAATTTAAATGTTTTCAATACGAAACCAAATAGCCGATTTTTGTGGTTACAGTTTTTACATAAATTAATTTTTTGTTTAAGTATATATTTCGTTTTCAGTTTCTTAATTGTTTGTTGCTTTTTTAATAGCCAATGCTCATGTAAATGTATTATATATTATGTATTAATGTGTCATGAATATCAAAAATGTTTACTATGAATCTAAGTTTATAAAACTTATTATGGATGCTTTTATATTTCTTTTAAAGATAAGTTAATTTGAAAAGACTGCAAGATATCGCTTTTTTGTTAAATGGTGACAGTGGAAAATATTGTGACATACAATTGCAATTAAAAATGTCTCGTTGTACAAAAAAATATACATTGACGTAATCTTTCCAAGAACTTTTATTACATAGTTTAATAACGCCTTTTTCTCCAAACTACCTTGTTTGGGGCAATTGGTTTGATATTCGTACATTTGTTTTTGTTTTCAGCCAAGACAAAAACTTAATAAACGAAGCAGAAATAACAATAGAACCAGTGGACCCAGTAAAGACTCCCACCAAGAAGCACGGTAGACATTCTTCTATGGACCTAGCTGCTAACGGAAACACGTCAATCACACAGCTACTGGAGAAATGTGTTAGTAATGTTGAGGATAAACTGGAGGGAGAAACGGAGAAGAAAGAAGGTGAGTGGTGGACATAGCCACCCAGTGACATAGTTACTCGGCGGACGTATCCACTCGGTGGACATAGTCACTCTGCGGACATATCCACCTGGTGGACATAATTTTTCAGCAGACAGTCACACAGTGGACGACGAAGCCACTGCCTGTCGCAAAAACAATCTCAATTTTCCACAGAACCACAGCCAACCCCAGAGTTACCAGAACCACCAGTAGAAAACAAGTCTCCTGTCCCGGAAGAACCAGTGGACAAGGAGAAGCTGGAGGAATACGTAAACCACAGAGGCATCAGGTTCACTCCTCAAGATGAGGAGCTGAATCTACAGCCGTATGGCTTGGTTTGCGTTAGGGAACTTTTTAGGTGAGATGTTGTAATTTCCTCGGTTTGTAAAAGCTATGAATTCTTGACATCAGTGGCGAATATTTACGTGAACTACGTATTTTCGGTCCTAAATCGGACCCATTAACACAATGAATCAATAAATTCCAGATTCTTAATATCGCTGTGCAATCCGCTGGACACGCAGAACACGTCAGCGATGGTCCACCTGGGCCTGTGCCTCGTCGGCACCGCCCTCGAAGTGGGAGCTGACCAGATCGCCAACTACCCCTCACTTCTGTATCTAGTCAAGGACCCGCTGTGCAGGAATTTGCTTAGCGTAAGTTTTTTTATCATCATTTTAGTAGCAGTAGAGCTCCTTGAGAGAGTTCGTCCAGGGAAGTCACTATAGTTATTTCTTCCGCCAAGCAGGTTTACTGTAATGAAAAGTTAATTATCGACTGCATTTTTTTTACATGGCACCACTAGAATTACTTTAAAGTCCAACTTTGACTTTCTAGATGAGTAGTTTTGTCTTACGGTGCAGTAAAACTATTTCCAGAAATCTGGAATTCGAAATAGTAATGAATTAAAATTTGGTTTTAACAACTCTGCTATATTTATACATGTATCTATGTATGTGGAACACCTTTTTCCGAACATTGGTGATAACCAGGGATCAGAATAGGTAGAGTTTTTTTTTACCTAAACTTCGAGGAATATAGACCGAAAATGGAGACTGCCTTACGACAATATTTTTTAGGTCCTAGGACCTTTTCGGGATTGGGGAAATCACTTTAGAACATTACACTATGTTTATCTTAACTTTGCGACGCACAGTGGGTCGGATCTGCGATATTGCGGGCATTGGATTTTTTTTCACAGTACCTCTCTAAAAAAACGCCAATCGAGCGATCCTATTGTTCTAATTCAATACTGTCATATCACATTTTGCCATAAATATAATAGATTAGTACGAAAAAAATAAATTGTGTATTTTTTGTATGGGACCATACCTATACCTCATCGTTGCAAAGTCTTAGTCTTAAAAATGAACAAAATTGGGTCCCCGCGGCAAGGTGCCCAAGATGCTGGCAACATTCTTGTATTGCTATGCTAATACATTGGGCGAGGTAGCTGCCGACCCTTGGATTTCCTAGCTAGTCTGTTAATGTTTTGGATAAGAAAAAGGTACCAGGACTCCATGGCCCAAGAGTTTCCACTCCAAAGGGTTGAAATAGGTAGTCGAGTTCCTGGTACTTATTACCAATGGTCGGCAAAAAGGTGTGTAGACAAGCTACAAGTCGTTCAAATTCAAATCATTCATTTCTTTGTGATACACAGGCTATAAAGTTGTTACAAGAATGAATTTTGAATCACTGTGATCCGCCTTATGGCATACAAAGTTTTCTTAGTTTTAGTCATTCTCATGCGATAATTTGTAATATTATTATAATCATGCAGTCCAATTAATGCAACCTAATATTAATGAAACGTAATAACAAAAGTAAAATAATAATCAATAACAAATTTTATAATGTGAAATGTAAATTTTATAAGAAATCTTCAATATTATAGAATGTTCTATCATTTAGGTAATTAAATAATAATTAATAGGTAGATAAATAGAGAAGAGTATAGTATATAGTAAATAAAATAAGTAGCAATATAGAGTTGTTAAAATCACCAAATATTAATTAATTACTTTTTCGAATTCCGGATTTCCGGAAATGGTTTTACTGCATCGTAAGACAAATAACTATTGACCTAGGAAGTCGAAGTTAGATTTCAAATGGAAATTTATAATTAAAGTAAAAAAATGCAGTAGATAACTGACCCTTTACCAAAGCTTAGAATAAAATAGTAACGAGAATGGTCACTCTCCGCACCTCTGTAGCTTTAAATACCGAACCGAGTCCCGCATATTGACGGTCACATTGGCGGAACGGCAACAAGGTTGTCACTTATCTGCTGCACTTTTTTACAAGGCTCTATTAGAATTACTTTAATAATCCAACTTCGACTTCCTAGGTCAGTAGTTTGTCCTACGACACAGTAAAACCGTTTCCGGAAATCCGGAATTCGGAAATGGTGGTTTTAACAACTCTAAGTCGCTCTTTGTAGCTATGTCTATATATGTGGAACACCATTTTCCGACCATAGCTTATTCCTAAAAAAAAACAATATTGAGTTTAAGAATTAATGCCTCCGTGGCTGAACGGTTGCCATGCCGGGAGAAATATTTGTATGTCCTACATTTATTTCTTTCGTGAGTTTGGGTGTAATTTGTGGTTGGCTATATATGTCCCCATGGCACCCGCGACCCAGGGTTTTCCTAGTGCGGGGCTATGGTGAGTGTGCGTGTTATTATACAAATACAAAAAAATTTTTTCATTCACAGTTACTGAGCACAGAAAGAATTTCAATTTTCGCGCTAGATCTTCAAATTTCGTTTCTCCTCTTCGAAGCCTTACGATTCCACCTTAAATTCCAAATGGAGGCATTCTTCAAAAAGATAATCGAAATAATATCAATGGACACAGTAAAAGCCACTTACGAGCTTAAAGAAATACATCATTTAGCAATCGAAAGTCTTTCACAGTTATTTCGAATACCGAGTCTGTGTACCGAGTTATATTTAAACTACGACTGCGATGTATATAGTATTAATGTTTTTGAAGAAATTACCAAATTATTATCTAAAAATGTGGTATCAAGTACCGCTTACAACATACATTCGTTATGTTTGGAGGCTCTGATGACGATTATTGAAGCTATAGAAGCTGGAAGTCAAAAGGAAAAGAGCGAGACGGAAGTACAGATTCTTGAGGAAGAGAAAGAGACAAAATGTAGCCGCGGAGATCATATTACGTTAGAGCTTGGCGGTATGGACGATTCGTCGGTAGTTAGTGATCATGTTACGCACGATATTAGTCAGTATGTCGGTGGAGGAAGGTTGGGAAGGCATAAGATTGCGTCGGAATTACCCACTGAAGCAGAGTTGGATAATATTAGAAATATGAAAAAGGTTTGTTAAATTATTTTATATATTACTAACTGTACCTAACATGCGTTGTAATATCACTGATAATGTTAGTAGCAGTAGAGCTTGTGAAAGAGTTCGTCCAGGGAAGTACTGCCGCTTTACCCTAATGATTTGGCAGAATAGTTTCGAAACAAATTCAATTACATTTCGTCTCTATTTCTGCTGATATACGCGATGTGACGGGCGCACTGGCAGTGCCCTTCGGGTCTTTACGATTTAAAGCTCTGAGTGGCACTGCAACTGTTATGGGCAGGCGAGTCGCTTACTACCAAATGCACGACTTATTAAATCCCGTCATTTATAGTCATAAAAAATATATTTCAGTGGGTAACACAGGGCACAGAACTGTTCAACCAAAAGCCTGAACGAGGGATAGAATTTCTCCAAGAGCACGGAGTACTGACTACACCACTGTGCCCACACGAAGTTGCCATCTTTCTGAGAGAGAACCCCTATTTGGACAAGACAATGATTGGTATGTAGTTTTTATACGTCGATTTAAATCATTTATTCGTCACACAGAAAAATAAACATGACTGATTCTTATTAGGAAGTTGAAAATAACATCAAAACTTCGAATTAGAGATTGATGAGAGAGTGCTGCATGTACCTACACTATATCCCACGTGATTGGTCAAATTTGAATTTACAACTATGTTCACGTGATGTTACAGCGATGTGATTGGTCAATGATAATTTTATTCAGCGATGTGAATGATCAGTTACATTTCTTTCTATATTCTTAAGCAAATTATAATTCAATTTGATTAAGAATTATAAAGAAAGAAAGAAGAAGAAAGAAGTCAAACTACAACAATGATATTTCTGCTCTCAAACTGGAGAATTTTCTGTACTTATAAGTACCAGAGTAATCAGAAACCAATCTGGGGCTGGGCTAGGCATTTCCTAATTTGGTCCTATTGGGAATCCAACCTGGGACCTTCTCATTAAGGGTCCACAGTATAAACTGTAGGGCTATCGTCATCGTATATAAAATATCACAAAATAATATAATATGTAGTTAAATTATGTGATTTCGATGTCAATACTGTTATTCTCCCACCCTCTAGGTGACTATATCTGCAAACGATCCTCCCGCGGTGAAGACGACGGCCCAAGCGTACTTAGTGCGTTCGCAGACAGCTTCGACTACGCCGGCCTGCGCATCGACCAAGCCCTCCGACTGTACTTAGAGACGTTCAGGCTGCCGGGAGAGGCGCCACTTATCTTTCTGGTCATGGAGAAGTTCGCTGAACGCTGGCATGTAAGTGCCGTTGCATGTTATATCATGGACCAATGATTCAAAAGAAATACTATTCTCCATAATACAAATTTTATTTTATATCTACATGGCGCTGTTCAATAACCTGGAAGTGGTTTATATTATTTAAAAGGCCGTGGATATAAATTGATCCCTTTTTAATATGAAATATAAGTCGTCAGTGTTTTCCTTATAATATTTTTCAATTACTGGGTAACCTGTCACAACCTCGAATTTATTTTTTCCGAAATAACCTTTGTTCGAATTTTCATTACCCCGAAAACCGAATTATAACGAAACCGTTGTTCTTTCTTTTATATATAATATAATACAACATATTCTGTTGGATGTTTATCGCAAAGACACGATTAGTTTAAGTTAGGTTTAAAAGAAAAAACATTTTCCTTCCAAACTTACTCTCGAGCATATGAAAATTCGAGCAAACGTTACTTCTGGAAAAGGTCATTTCGGACTTCTCAGATAGGTTACCAAATATTGAACATGAGCTAAATTTTTAGTAGTAGTAGACCTTGTGAAAGAGTGCGTCCATGGAAGTACTGCCGCTTTACCTATTTCTGCCTCTGTGGTTACCATGCCAGACTGCCAAACAGAGGTCCCAGGTTCGATTCCCAGGCCGGGAGAAATATTTGTATGGCCTACATTTATTTATCTCGTGAGTTTGGGTGTCATTTGTGGTTGTCTATGTGTGTGTCCATGCCACCCGCGACACAGGGTTTCCCTAGTGTGGGGCTATGTTGAGTGTGTGCGTTATTATTATTATTTCTGCCGCCAAGCAGTAATGCGAACATTACTGCATTCCAGTTTTCAAGGGCTTGCTGGTGAAATTATCGACACATGTGACGTGTTAGATTGTGTCTCGGGTGACTGGCGAGGCGACAATGTCAAGTATGAAGCTTCATTCGCATCATGCGTATTTAATTCGGTCTAGTGTTACTTATTTCACAGTTATTGTAGGAGTGTCTTAAATTATCGGACGCGTAAAGGCTTTTATTTGAATAAACGCAGACAGAGAAAAATATTCCTAAACAGAGCATCTCTTCTGTACACAATCAAATCAACCCTTTCTCTTAAACTAAACAGTGTTACAATTTTTCAATTATTATAGTCTATTATCTTTACAATTATTATTTTAATTACTATTACCGCTACAATATTATTATAGTTACTATATTCATGGGTCGATATTAGTTAATAACAATCATAAATAAAGAAACCTAGTTATTATTTACAAAGCAACGCCATCTAGTGGCAGGGTGACACAATAATCGTTTCCAACGGATATTGGACGGAGAACGTGTGCAAACGTGAGCAACACATGTGATATTGTTTGATAAGTATTTGTAATTGAAGTATATTATGCAGTTAGTTAAGTGGAAAATAGTATTTTATGCAATTGTTGCGTAATGGGGGTTCTTAAAGTCGACTAGCGTGTTTAGGCCATGAGATTTTAAAACCTAATTATGTAATGACTGCGTACAATTTTTGCATGCAGTTCTTTGGTCACATTCCACGCAAAAGCGCTGACAGTCTCGAGAGCGTGATTGTTACGGGCAGGATTGAGGGCAAACGACCTAGAGGTCGAAGTTCGAAACGATGGTGTGACCAGGTGGTTGAAAGTCTGACAGTACCAGTGAGCGTCGCATTCCACCTAGCCAAAGACAGAGTGCAGTGGAGAGGATTGATTGACGGTATACTTGTTCAAAGTCACGATCCTCAGCAGTGAGGGACAGACGGGGGAGGAGGAGGCATACAATTTCCTACAAATAAAATGACTGCAAACGCAATTAAAAAAAAATATTTTCACCCATTTATTTGAGTAGGCAAAGGTTCCACCATACAGCCTCTACATTTATTTGGCGATAGTAAAACAAACGCTACAAAACAAAACACCAAAGAGATAGAATAGAAGTGGCCAAGGACCGCTTAAATTTTAACCAATATTTTTTTATAACAGTTTACGGCCTAGTTGCAAGATCTTTAGGCCAATTTAACTAATCAAGAGGCAGTAGAGCGTCTGAGTAGCGTCATATTTCATATTTTAATTAGCAAAAATACGACGTTCTTTTTTGAAACTCCTTATACGAGTAGTTCTGTGTACACAACTATCATACTTATTTCATTATAGCACTGTGTACAAAACTATAATGAAATTTTTCAGTTCGATAGCGATTACCACAGACAATAGAATTTTGATTCTGAACTAAAAAGAGCGCCTTTGTGAAGGCGCAAACCATATGGTTTATGAAATTATAATTGATATTTTTTTTATATAACATCAAGTGACGGGACGAACAAGTCGTGCGCCCGATGGTAAGCTCACGCTTGTCCATAACAGTTGCAGTGCCACTCAGAGCTTTAAACCGCAAAGGGCACTGTTACTGCGCCCGACACCCTGCGTCATAAGTTGACAGGTCCCATGTGCCAGTAATTTCACCAGCACCTTATGCTAACATCACTGCGGTAACCTATCACAAAGTCGAAATTTTTTTTCCCCGGAATAACGTTTGCTCGAATTTTAATTACACCGAAAACCGAATTACAACGAAACAGTTGTTCTTTCAGGATATGTTTATAACAGAGACACGATTAGGTTCGGTTAGGTTGGGTTAAGTTAGGTTTAAAAGAAAAACTTTTCCTCTCAAAATTTGTTTCGAGGTTATGAAACTTCAACCAAACGTTGTTTCTGGAAAATGTGATTTCGGACTACTGATAGGTAACCCATTACTGCTTGGCTGCAGAAATAGGTAAGGTGGCAGTACTTCCCTGGACGAACTCTTTACAAGGAGTTCTACTGCTACTAGATTAAAGTACTCGAATAGAAAATTAAGGTGTTTTTATTTCAAAAAATGTCTTTATAAAATATGGCGTATGTATTGTTAATGTGTATATTTAACACAAATAAACTACTTAATATCAGAAATATCAGAAAACCATGAAAATTCATAGCTCATTTTATTTTTTAATTTGCTGCTCGTGCCTTTCTTTTGAGGGCAGTATACTCAGCGATGGAGTCAAAGTTACTTAGCCTTCCTTTCTCAAACTCGTATCTTAAAAAGAGTGATTATTCAGGAGATAATAATAATAACGCACACACTCAACATAGCCCCGCACTAGGGAAACCCTGTGTCGCGGGTGCCATGGACACACACATAGACAACCACAAATTACACCCAAACTCACTAGAGAAATAATTGTAGGCCATACAACTATTTCTCCCGGCCCGGGAATCGAACCTGGGACCTCTGCGTGGCAGTCCGGCATGGTAACCGTTCGGCCACGGAGCCAGTTAGGAGATGGCAAAACTTTCTATTTATTTTAAATTTTTTATCAAGGGTGTTAATTTGGACGCATTACTTTAAGAATAGATTAAAACCTGTGTGTGAATATGAAGGGAATGTGATGTGAAATGAACCTGCAAAATTTTGTATATACAATCCATTTTTTGTATTTCAGTAATTTTGTGCTTTAAGATACGAGTTTGAGAAAGTAAAGCGACGAAAATGTAAACAAAATATTTATTGCCATTTACAAAAAATGTTTTATGAATACAAGCTATACACTTTTTGCTCGAATATCGCTTCTAGCGGTACAAAACAAACATCTAAAAATTATTATTTTTATGTCATTTTGACAGTTGTTTGATATATTGTAAACTGACACTGGCCCAAGCCTATAGTGGACGCCTTTAAGGAAAAATAATAATCACTCGGATTCATCGTCGTATATACAGTTAGTAATGTCTCAACCGAGCCGACTTTTTTGTTTCTATTCTGCGCCAAAGATGTGCGTGGCTGGCAGAGAATGCCTAATGGCATTAAGGGTCTATACAACCTCAAGTGGCTTTGGTTGATTCCGCACAACAGTGAAAGTGTTAAATCAATTACTTAGGAAAAAGTATACAGTACAATTGAGGATATACACTATGCACTATTTACGTTAGAAAAAAAAAACACAAACTTACCTCGAAATTTTAAAAGAAAACCGCTGTATTCAATAGGTATTTTACATATACCAATGATTTTTTTTTATATAAACTGAACTGAATAGAATACATAAAGTATACGATGTACGTTTTTCATACGGGTTTAATTACGTTTGTAAAAAAAAAAAACCTGAAATGAAGCCAGTGTCCCTGTCGCTCGACCTAAATCGTATTTGTACGGGAAAAATTTTAATTGGAGCTGAAGTAATATCGACTCTGAAGTCCGCCATTTGTATTGTTTTGTGTGCAAAAAAGGTGAAGTTTATTTTATTTAATGAACACAGTTTCAACAGCATTCTTAAACTTATCTGACAAAAGTGTTTTAAGCAGCACAAAGGTCAATTACTGAAACTCACTACGCGTACAAATAAATAAACGCCGATTATTTATAATGAAGATCAAGTGCGGGTAGTTACAAAAACTCGCACGGCTAGAAGATGCTGACACCCGCCTCGTCAGTCCCTTTGCGACTATGGGGTTGCAATACGTCCGAAACGTCGAGGTATTTAATCTAGAAAATCTTGAAAGTTTAAATCAAAGTAAATAAACGCCGAGCCGAGTTCAATCAACCCAAATAATAATCGTTTTTTCAAGAGCTTCAGAAGAGAATAGACGCAATTGACCTTAGAAAGTCTGTTACTGGACTGAAAAAGTCGTTATCATTTTTTATTTGCACCCGTGGTTCCGGTGGTTTTGGTACTAATTTTCCTTCAAGTTCAGAGTATACCACACGCTCGTTACACATATCTCCGTCGCAGCAACACATTATTAGATTAGTTTCTCTACTTTCGCATTGGTTCTCTTTCTTAGAACACGCCATTTTATCGCGTTTACAACCTTTAGCCGATAGTGTTAATTTCTTATCCTCTATTTGAATGTATGTTAACGTACAATAATTAAATTCGTTGGGCGACTCGGTCGGATCACATTGCTGAACAAGAGATTGACCGCATACGTCGGATGATTCAATACACCGGCTATTCGTGTATTCGCATGCTTTTGTTGTTGTTGATGTTGCCTTCCCGAACGGCTCTGAAAGAATTAAGATGATTTAATTACCATATTTCGTCAAAAACTCTAAAGCACGGCCTTTACACATTCGACTATTTTTATTTTATTTAGTAATTTATTTCAGGCCACATGACCCGGTAACCCATCAGAAGTCCGAAATGACATTTTCCAGAAATAACGGTTGCTCGAATTTTCATAACCTCGAAAGTAATTTTGAGAGGATTTTTTTTTTGTTTTAAATCTAACTTAACCTAAACTAAACGAACGTTATCGTGTCTTTGCGATAAACATCCAACGTATCCTGAAAGAACAACAGTTTTGTTATAATTCGGTTTTCGGTGTAATGAAAATTCGAACAAACGTTGTTTCGGAAAAAAATTGGAGTTTGTGATAGGTTACCCACATGATCCGTATAATAATAATAAATTCAAAATTAATCTTTAACTCTAAAAAAACCTTGGGAAAGGCGACAATCTAAACTAGATATAATAAAAATAATAATAATAACGCACACACTCAACATAGGGGGCTATGGGAAACCCTGTGTCAAATCAGGGCATGAAACCGGTTTATTGGATTTGACCCTCTTTACGTTAACCAATTTCAATAAAACTTGGCAAATAAGTGTAATTCCACACATTTTTGAGGTCGGTTTTTTTTATATAAGAAAGTTCAAATTATTGTTGTAATTATGGATGTATTCCAGAAGTGAACTTTATTATTATTGTTTATAAGAAACATTACGTACCTATAAGCAGCAAGCAAAAGATGTAACATCTCCACATTTTCACTAGTACAATGTCCAACTTTCTATAAGAAATTTTCAATTATTTCTAACTT